CGTTGACCGGCTAGAAGAAAGTACTGCCTATAATTTGAAATTGGAAATTCCGTATGACAAGGGAATTAGAGCTGATAAAGCGCTTTACTTTTTTTGTTTTTCGAAAGCAGAAAAAATTTCATAATTCCTTTTTTTTTGCTGCTTGGAAAAATTCCACCTGCAGATAATTCGAAATTCTTTGCCTTTGGCATGTCAAATATTTTCCTTTAACTCCCTGAAAAACCATGACTTGCTTCGATTATTGGGGGTGGTGGTGGGGGTGAAAATCTCTTACCACCCCCAATTTTTCCGGGCGCTTTTCCTGCTGACTGTTATCTGACGCCCAACATTTCCTTTCCACAAGCAGCAGCAGCAAATGAATCCATCTATTCCGTCTATCATTTTCATGCCAGCTTCCACAAAACGCATTTAATTTATATAAGTCACGTGAGAGGCATTTTTTATGTGAAATGCTCTTGGAAAAGGAGGAGGAAAACCCTCCCCCAATCACAGAGGAAAAGCTGGATTTGGCTCCCTTGATTTGATGAGTTTTGCAGAGCAGTAACCCTCCTCCCAAAGGGGTTTCGTTTCGTTTTCCTAAAACGAAATCCGCTCAAGTATAATAGAAACGTCTCGAATCGTAAGCGGACACGCAGCCAGAGCTCTAATTTGACTCCCCATAATTCCTCATTTCACATTGGGTCAATGGCCAGTTCTTCATATTTTCGGGGGGACTTTTCTGGGGTTTTCGGCTGGATTTCAACCTACATATGCTAACCAAATTTGACAGGCAGGCCGGCAAGCACTTGGACAAATAATATCTGTCACTAATCATGACGGAGTGGATTTATGCGGCGACTGATTTAGTGACTGAAAATGAGTGCAGCACTCCATATTTCGAATGCGTCTTTGGTCTTTGCATTTTGATTTATTACTCAAGGCCCCAGAGGTTAAGAGGGGGTTAGAAGGGGGTTAGCAGTGGAGGGGCTCTGGGACCCCCTCCGAAGAAAACCGAAGAAAAGACTTCGCCGCCACGGCTTAAGTGAATTATATTTTATGTGTGGCGCTCATGTCGTGGAGACATCATAAATCAAACACAAGTCCATTTGGAATTTCACACTTCTGGCACGTGACTCTTTCAAGCGGATCTCAGAGATCTTTCGGTTTTGAGTTTCTCCGCATGCGTTTCGGTGGTTTTGCGGCTAATAATTGTTGATGGCTTCTTAATGGAGATGTTAGCATGGAGATGATGCGGCGATTGAAATTGGTGGGGCATTAATCACACAGAAAATGTCACATGTTAAAAGTTAAAAGTGTTTTTTAATAACTTTATTTTGTAGAGAAAACAAACAAGGCTTTGGCCTGATTTAGAAGAAAGATATTATTCTAGGAAAAATCCTATTTCATTGTATAAGAAATGTAATTGTTTGATAAAATATTTCATATATATTATTTATTGACGCAACAATGTTTTATTTCTTGATAAAATATTTCCTGATTTCTTGTTTCCCCCGATAAAATTTTTCTTGATTTATTATTCCATTGGGTTTACTTATTATATCACTTGTAATATTACTTGATATAATATTTCTTTGTATAATATTTTTGATATAATTTATTGACGTAATATATCTTAACATATTATTTATAAATTTATTTCTTGATTTATATTTTTTTCTGTACATAATTTTTCTTGATTTATTATTCTATTGGCCACTTTTCTTTTAAATTGTTCACAGAACAAAGTCAAAGTGCCAGCTGTCAATCTTAATAATCGATTTATAAGGGTCATTTCCTTCAAGCTTCTGACCTCCTCTTCATAAAATATAGTTTTCTTACGTCCTGACCCTTTCTCAAAGTCCCTGAACTGCCTTTTCTCCAACCACTCAACTCCATCGTCATCCCCTGGTTAAACGAAAAACCTTTGTCTAATCTAGTGAAAACCAAATGGCAGAACAAACGAACAGTCATAAGTTCAGGCCATTAACAATTGCGTGTTCTGCCATCGTCATCGTCATCGAATCGAATCGACGACGACATCATTTTCATTTCTTTTCATTTGAGTCCCATCGCTGCCATCGGGCGGGGCAATCAAAAAGTTTAGCTTATGCCATTAAATTGTATTTTTAGTTTGTTTCGCTGTCGCTTCTTCTTTTCGCATTCGTGCAAATGCAATAAATAAGTAAACAAATTAAATGCGCATAAATAACAGCGAGCGGAGCGGCAAAAAGGTTAACATATCCCAAACTACCGTGCTAATGTGCATAAACTTTTGCTCACTCAAATGCTCAAATACAGTTGGCCAAAGTCTCAGAGACATAAGACACGTGTGGGCCACAAAAATCAGAAATCAAGAGGAAAGCATGAGAAACATGTAGAAAAATAGCTAGCGAAAGAGCCGGCGAAAACGGAGGACAAGATAACTTATTAAAAAGCGAAAAAACCGCGCAGATTTCGCAGCGTGAAATTTTTTTGCAAATGACGCAATTTTTTGCCAAAAAAAATAAATAAAAAACAAAAAAACTAGAAAAAAAGCTAAGCCGACGAACAGAAAAATTAAATAAAATAAAAAGGCCAGCCAAGTTGTCGTTTGCTCATTTTGGCGTGACACACATAAGAATACACAGATAGATAAAAACCACAATATATATTTTATATGGTATATAGTATATAATTTGTAGTTTATGCGATTGTCCGTCGTTGCTGTGCGCATAAAATTATTAGAACGATATAATTTCATTATCAGACAAGCAACGAGGCAGAGCGCTAAAGTGGCAAAAAACGCCGAGAGAGAGAAAAGTTCATTGGCATACAGGGCGTATGAGTGTTGGCTTAAGTATTTTTGCACACTCACTCGAACGTACGACAGATAAACAATTGCTGACTACAAAAATTGCTGGCTGAATTTATTATTTAATTATGTTTTGCATGCGAGAGAGAAGAAAGGAAGCAATTTCGTAGGAAAAACTGTACAAAATGTATCTTCTAGATAGCGACGACGACTATGTGGAGTGTAGAGCAACTTAACGAGTTCGGGGAGTCAAAGTTTATTTGGACTTGGCCCAGAGAGATAGCGAAAGAGCTGAATTTATGATTTGTGTTGGTTGCTTGCTGGCCAAAGCGTGACTTTCACGTCTGTTTATATATTATAGAAAATATGTACGGAAAAAAACACATGTTTACTCACATTACTCAGAAAATCAAGTATATGTTGTAGAGCTTAAAAAATATACACATATTAATATTTTTCGATATTATCGAAATTATATTGTGAAACATCGAAAATATCGATAATTTTCTAGCTCGTGGATAATTTCTTTATTAATATATTTAAAGCACTTAATAAAAAATGCACCAAGTTTCAATCAATGGTCGTTAAAAATTCATTTTATGTAACTGGCTTTAAATTACATTCACAAACAACATGGAGTACAAAAAATGGGTATTTTTCCAACACACAAATCAAATTTTGTGTTTTATTTGTAGAATACCAATTGATTTCTGGCACCTCTGCAGATTTACATTTTTTTACAAATCAAATTGTGACCTACGGAAGTATTAGCCATAAGCGAATTTGGGGGGTCATCATGACACGGATCAATTAGCGAGAACTTTTTTAGTTAACCTAACCCCCCGAAAATTCTGTGGTTTTTATGCAAATGGATTTTGCGGCTGCCTAAAAAGTTTTCAAAGCCCCGACTGAAACAAAAGAAAAAATCCAACAAAAAAATGTTTCGCTTGATTTTCAGTTTGCAATTTTTTTTTTTTTTTGGGAATTTGCAGTGGAAGTATTTTTTGCTGGTTGCATATTTTAGCATTTCACGCTGATGTGCTGATGCCGCTGCTGCTGTGCGAATAAAATAATGTTTTTGGCAAATTTTCAAAAATGTATCAATGGCAAAGTTTGTTGGACTTTTACGGGTTATACGGAGGTATGTGAGTGTGGAGCCATTGTTTGTTGCATACAAATTTTATAGATTTTCAACGCCTTCGACTGCAGCTGCCAAATATCCTGCAGCCTTATATGCAAAGCTCGAGCTTCGTCGTCCTATCCTATCCTTCTTCTTTATTCGTGTCCCTCTGGCACATGTGTGGCATTTTAAGTGAAAAACGCCATCGTCATGGCTGTCGTCAACATGCCAATGTGCCTGCCTGCCTGTCCTGTCCCTTTCTTATCCTTGCAACTACCTCTACAGCTCTCTCTATCTCCTCACCTATCCCCATCTCTATCCATTGTGTGAGCCAAGCAGCATTCAATAACTTCGAATGGCAGCTATTCCAGTTGGAATTTCAATAAAAATACTTGCACTGCCTCCAGTTGTCGTTCGTTCTCTTCCACTCCCAATCTATGGATTGTGGGAGCCAAATCGCTTAATATTATCGACATACTTTTGCACTATACATTTTAATATTGCCTACAGTTGTGGGCCATAGATGGGGAATCGATGGGGAATATGGACTCCTTTGACCACCTATCATTTGCCACACAAATGGCAGAGCCACTTTGATATTTCTTTGATGGTTTTATGAACAAAACAACTAGGATCGCAAATGATTGAAAATAAAAATGTTAACTGTTCAAGAATAAACCGAAATGATATGGGGATACTTTAAAATTACCTTTTTCTTCGATAAGAATTGGATTATAAAATTGTTTTTATGATAGAAAAATGATATCGGTAGTTTCTTAGACCAAATAGCTTTGCTACCAAAAATATAAATATTATTAAATCAAACAAATAAATATAAATAAATATATAAGAAAAAGTATTATTAAATATCAAAAAATATAATTATTAGGGAATATGAAAAAATATAAATATTGTTAAGGGGTATTTCGAAAACACTTTATTCTTCGATAAGAATTTTAGTTTCTATGAAATTCAAATGGTATCCCGAATTTCTTCGAATTCGAATTTCGTAAACATGATAAAACATTAACCAATTTAAAATATCAAAAAATGTATAATTTTTATGATAACACAGATATACTATAGCCATATCATCTCTATCTCTTGCAGTACGGTCAGCGAGTGCCGACGGCAGCCTCACCGAGCAACACCAACTCGAGCAGCTCCTCGAACACGGGCTCCCAGAGCGGCACGCTGAGCACCAGCCTGAGCAACACGACGAACACCAACACGAACATGGGTCCCAACGGCACGGTACAGAATCAAAACCAACAGGGCGGCGAGCAGTTGTCCAAGACAAATCTCTACATTCGCGGACTGCAGCAGGGCACAACCGACAAGGATCTAGTTAATATGTGTGCACAGTGAGTACCAGGATGAGAACATATTCGAAAAAAAATCAGATATTCAGATATATAGATACTACAATCAGGCCTCTCTCTCTGTGATTTGTGCGTGTGCCTGCCCTGCGGTTTTGTATCTTGTCTCTGCGGTCAACCTATCGCATTAAATTGCATTACCATCTAGCACAGAACTCCCTGGGCAGAAGGCCATTATGCAAATTCATTTTAATTGTTTTTGCTGCTCGGGGCTTTCACTGGGCTGAAATATATATATCAATACGTATATGGGAATGCCTTTGAGGAACCGAAGCAAATGATGCGATGCCTTTGAGCAAGAAGCATCTTCATCAATTTTAATTGAACGTTAATAACTGGCCGTAAGGGAAACGAATTGCTAGTTATTTGTGGGATGTATTGCGATGTACTATAGAAAATGTCATTAAAAGTATTTTATTAGTTAAGAATTAATTGCTTAAACAACCTTGATAAATTTATAAAATAACAAGGAAAACAAATAGAAGCTGTGGGAATTAAATTTATTTAAAAACATTTAAATATCACTACAAATATTGCAGTATTTTCCGCTTTTTCTTTACAAAGCAACCAAGATAAGTTCCTTTTCAAATCTCTTAAAGAAATTGTTGGCTTGTGACAATTTTCCGATACTAAATACATTTGTAAAATGAAAATGTATTCATTTCTTTCTTCCATTATATTTTCCAAGCTGTATCTTACAGATACGTTTGTATCGTATCTTTGGTGCCACATCAGGCATACGAAATGCCATCCATACGAAATGAACTAATTCGAAATGTGTGTGTCCAACTATTGATTTGCGCCCACTGAGTAGAAGAGAAGTGGAGTAAAGTGATGTGGTGTGTGTTTTTGAGACGAAACGGAACCCGAAATCCATTTCCATCCGCCGTCCTATCCGCTCCACCATCACCACCCCCAAAATCCCGCTGCTAATGAGCAGCTTAGCCTCAGTCCATTCCGCTTGGCTGCGTTTCCATAAAGCCACCCCCGCCCGCCATCCTTTATCCTTCATCCTGCGGCCCGAAAAAGTAACCCCCAAAAAAGCAACTAACCCCTGACCTTCTTGATGGACGACGAGACGAGGAGGCCAAGTTTCTGCAAAACTAAACAAAAATCCACTAATTAGTGCGCACGCTTTATCAAAATCCGTAAAGAAAAAATTTGTTTTTCGGTATCCAAAGAGGAAATCATTTTTGTGGTTTGTGGTACCAACAACAAACCACTGAACGTATTATTATGTGTATTATGTGCGTATTACGCATACGCAATGTTGGCCACTTCTTTTATGCATAAAAAATAACTTATTTGCGGCGTCACACGAACATAAAAAGAAACGTAATGAAAAGGGATCCCAAACCACTTTCCCCTGTTTGTAAGTCAAGTAATTAAATTGAAGGTTAATTTATTTTGCTTTTTTTTATACCGCACAGCTTTACTTTTCTCCTGCTTCTGCACAGGCAATCAAAATAAGCGGCTTATTAGTGGGGAAGCGGGGCTTTAATGTTATTATAACTAAGTATTTATGGGGGGATGGAAGGGGAACTACTAGTAGTGTAACTAAGAAGATATCGATTTAATTTTACCCTGCAGGCAGGCAGAGGGACATGGGCATTACACACGGACTAAGTCAATTATTGCCAGGCATAAATGAGCAATGTAACGCCCTCGGAAAAATGGGGAAAAAGATAGCTAAAGGGTTGTGAAAATTTCCATTGCCTACTTCGGCGGGCACGAGCATAAAAATTGCATTTTAATGACACTTTAATTGCTTAAGGTAAGGTAAACCAGGTTTTCTCATAGAGGCAACCCCCTTAACTCTTAAAGTTACCCCATCCTATATAATATAGAGTATATAAATATTATGGCACGTGGCACCAGACACACGCACACAAACACTGAGCCCTGAGAGACATGAATGTGTTTATAATCTGATTATCCATTATCCATTCTTTGCAGTCGCTGTTGTTGTCATGCAACAACAAAATGCCATTGTCGTCCATTTAATGCGGAATACTATTTAACCCACCTGTGTGTCTCTCTTCTTGTTTACAACTTTCAGATACGGAACAATTATATCAACCAAGGCTATTTTAGATAAAACAACAAACAAATGTAAAGGTATTTTTTTCTTCACCATTCTCATCATTATTTTATTTATGTGTGTTTTTGTATAAGTATTATTAGTATGTGTTTATGTAAAAAAAGATAATCCAAAAGAAACGCAAGAAAAGAAAATATAAACAAACCAAAAACTGAAATTTCATTGATTTTGTAAGTACTTTTGTTCTTTTATAAATGCAAAGTGTTTTTCGAAAAAATATTTTAATTTATTTGGAAGTAATATTCATAATATTTCTTATTTACACTCGAAAACTTTGAAAAACACTTTGCATTTCTTTTGATTTTTTAAAAGTGATCACCATTTATTGCTCGTTCGTTATGATATGTAGTTATATTCATATCATTTCAATATATTTTAAATTTGTTTAATTTACATTCTGAAATAAATAATTGGCATAAGCAGTTTTGACTTCATTTCCTTCTACTGACTTTGAGTTTCTTGATTTTGATTCCTGATCATTTCGCAATCGTGTCATTCATGCATTCCACTCTACTATTACAAAATACTATATCTACTGCTACTGATGCACTCAAATAATGCTAATAATAATAACGATTACTTACGATAATATGTAAATATCCCGATAACTGAATAAGCTGTAAAAATAGTGTATCCTATATAAAAGACTGCTCTCTATCAATGTGTGTGCGTGTATCGATATAAATATATTTTTATTGAGTACGTTTGGATTTGTTTCTATTTTTTCGAAGAGTTTCTGTTTGAGTTAGCAGTTAAGTTGAATTAAATTAATTATTAATTTATTTTTCACCTGTTCTTTTTTTTTTCCACTCCTCTTTTCTTGTTGAACGAATATATTTTGTTTTTGTTCGATTTTGTTTTTGTTGCACGTGACCCAATGCGAAAATTCACATATTATTTTTTTCGGTTCTTGATTGAATTCAATTTCAATTTTCGATTTGTGTGCCAACCAAATGTTGGACTATAAATAAACATTTCCTCCTCTCTCTCTCTATCTATCTCTCTCTGTCTCTGCAAATATATTTATATATATATTTATACATGCAATTAAAAAAATAAAAATAAAATTCCCCCCACCTTCCGCAACACACAAAAACAAACAACAAAAAATTAAAAAAAAATAAAAAACAAAAACGAAAACAACAACGAAAAACAAAAACAAAATATGCTTTTTTGCAGGTTACGGCTTCGTCGACTTCGAGCAGCCAGCCTTCGCCGAGTGCGCCGTAAAAGGATTGCAGGGGAAGGGCGTGCAAGCTCAGATGGCCAAAGTGGGTATCTGGGTGCTTCATAGGCCGGCCATTGTACGTTTGTTTGCATGCAAGTAATACTCACCCCCCACACACCGCAAAAATGTCCCATCCTATCCAGAACCAGAAAAAAAGCCCGAAACTTCCCTTCCGAAACCTTGTTTTTCCTATCTCCCGAACCCTTTTTTCCCCAGTCATTTGTGCATTTCGTTTACTGTGTACTGACCCCTAAGCTGCCTCAAACTTTTTATTATTTTAGTTTTGTTAAGGCTGAAATTTGTTTTTGGTTAAGGCCTAGTATTCATGTTCACTAAAAATTTTGCCAAAACAAATAACAGTTAAACTGTCAAGTAATTTAAATTAAATTTTTGTTTATAGTTTTGGCAGCCTTATTATGAGCATAAGTACGAAGCCTACGATATAATTGGGTTACCACTTCCTGAGAAGCCAGACAGTATATAACTAAATTAACGAGGAGCTAAAAATATTTATCTTCTCACGCCGCAGGGTGTGAATATTTCCCTTATCTTTGATTTATTTAATCTCCTACCTAAAAACCTCAATCCGATGATAACCCCAATGCCAATTCCCCCAACCTCTAGTTCGTAGTGTTGTTCCAAAAACTCTCTTTGTATAACCGTTTGTCGTATACCAAAAACCACACATAATATCTCTCTATATAACCGACTATATAGACAAAAACATAAATATTTAGTAAACCTCAAAACATTTTTTAGATTTATTATCTTGTGTTTGTCTTTCTTTGCATAGAGGTAGTTTAACTGTTAGCGTAATACAGTTTTTTTTTTTGTTAGTATACATTTCCATATTAATTGAGAATAAATGCATTTATTAATGGCATTCATTAGTTCATATTATTTATGAAGCTGAAAGTCATAAAATAAATAATCCTTCTCTTTAATCTTCCTTTAGCAGTTGAAATATGACCCCCAAAAAAATGACATTAAGTGAGAACAATCAAAAGTTTTTTAGCGGATTTGTTTGGTAAATTAATTGCATTAAGCGTACACACAGTACAGGTATATTTAGAGTTTAGTGTAAAACATTTTTCCTAAGGTATTTATTTGAACATAAATAGAATGCAGTATATCCAATACAAAACCCCCAATAAAATCATTATTTAGCTCAGGCCATATTCATCAAGTTAGATTTAGAATTTGGGTACTCCTTAAATCTTACATACTAGTTCTTTTATTTTAAACAACCTGGGTATTTAGATTAAACTTGAATACATTTTTATGAATCCAAATTTACCATCTTATAGAAAAAACATATTTCTGTATAAATGAATAATGTTTCAAATGCTTATTTAATTTAATTTCCCAAAAGTTGTTAATTTATGTAATCTTCCTAAGAGATATTGTAGCTTAGTAACTAAAGGGGAATTGGGTTATAGATACTAAATTTAAGTAGATATTAGTTGAATAACTCATTGATCTAAGTAGAGAAAGTCATATTTTTAAATTTTCTATCCCCGATTTTATTTTAGGAGAACATTCTAAACATCCCAATATTTAAGTCGTAAATTGTAATCAATAATTAGCAGCCATTTACAGCGGCTTACTGGTAGGAAGCTGGTATTTGGCATCAATTTCAATTTTTGGCCATTCATTCGTGCATATTAATAATTTGTAAACAAATCAAAAAGTTTTTCATTCGAAGAGCTTAGCAACTTTTTTCACTCCCCTCTCGTCGTTAGCTTTTTCCCAACGTTATAATCCGCTGGCATTAAAGGCTCATTAAAAAAAATACAAAACATAGCCAACAAAATAATGGAAAGTTTGCTGTACAAATAAAACACAGACCACACGTAATTCCGTAGGCATTAATGATTGTAATCTATAGAGTTGAACAACACTCACACGTACATATCAATAGAAACAGTACAACTAGCGTATAGTATATCTCTCTTCATATCTGATATTCTATATATTGAATCTGTATATTCAACTGTATAAACTGTATACTCGTATTTTGAAGTTATAGCCAGCCAAAGTATATAACCAACCTCTACTACTTCAACCTACTACAAAAGTTTGTTGTTTGAGTACGCAAATTGCTACAAACCTGTGCCGGCCAAAAATCAAAACCAAAAACCAAATACAATCTAAACTCTAAGTATAACAATCAAACAGATCTCATTAAACTCTAAGACATAATTACTGAGCAGGTATTTAACTTAATTAAGCATTTGGGATGGCAAATCATTAAATTGAACCACATCGATAGTAAATAATGTCGACTTTTTCGATATCTAAAGGGTTTACAAATTGATAAACATTTGTGGTAATATAACTTGATTTAAAAATGAGTTATCCAATTTGTAAAACTAAATCAATCAATCAGAAAACATATTTTGTTAATCATTTTAATATTTAAAAAGGTATACCAGTTCTTTAAATTTGCTATCGAAATAAATCTAAACTATCGATGATTGTATCAATGTTTTGCCATCTATTATTAAGCATCGTTCAGGGAAAGATAAAAAAAAAACACTGCATCTTCAAGGGGGTAAAAGTTTGATAGGTCTACTTTTTGCATTAGGTATTATCCGATAAGTCTGAGGCATTACATAACATCCACACACACACACGCAAGAGTCAGGCACACTTAACACTTACACTAACACACTGACAACAGACAAACAGTCCAAAAAGAGTTGACAACAGAAACATTTTTGGCAAGCAACTTGAATATTTACTAATGACAAAATCTCTACGTTCTTAATTTCTCTACTCCCCTCTCTCTCTCGAAATAAAAAAAATATATATATGAAAAAATCACAACAACCTCACAAATACACAAAACACACCTACACACATCAAAATGCATACGCACAACAACCAATAAAATACACATGCTTTTACGCCAACTGCTTTTGTGTAACGTTAATTTGTGTGAAACCGAAACAAACAAACCAACAAAATTCACCATCCAAAAACCAACAAACCAATTTAAATCGATTCAATTTCAACCAACCAAAAACAACCCAACAATCGACATCCGACAACACCACACCACCCTGATCTGACCCAATTGCATACAACAACCACACAGCAACAGGAACAGGATCCCACAAATTTGTATATTGCAAATTTGCCGCCCCACTTCAAGGAAACTGATCTGGAGGCAATGCTATCGAAATACGGACAAGTTGTTTCGACCAGAATATTGCGTGATCAGCAGATGAACTCCAAGGGTGAGTAGATATTAAGAAGTCTTTAAAACGTTGTTGCTATTGGATATATCTTTAATATTTAATTCTTATATTTAATTGGCAACCATCGTTATTGAAATTACTTCTTTAAATACTATATATACATACCTATAATAATTATTCCCAATTTATCTTTTAGGCGTTGGCTTTGCCCGCATGGAGAGTCGCGAGAAGTGCGAGCAAATCATTCAGATGTTCAATGGTAACACAATACCGGGTGCCAAAGATCCCCTGCTGGTTAAGTTTGCCGATGGCGGACCCAAAAAGAAGAATCTCTTCAAGACGCCCGATCCGAATGCGCGTGCGTGGCGCGACGTCTCCGCGGAGGGGATTCCCGTGGCCTACGATCCGACTATGCAGCAGAATGGCGTTAGCGTGAACGTTGGCACGCCCATCGGAGTGCCCTACTCCCGCTTCAGTGCCCCCCAGGTGGGTGGCTATCCAGTGGCCGGCTCCCAATGGATACCCGGTTATATGATGACCCAGCCGATCACTCAGGTAGATGATCAGGTGAGTAGTGGAGTTGCATCCATTATGGGTATGTGACACTGGAATAAATTCTACTTTGTATTTATAATTTTATTTGATTTATTTATGAAGCTTACCGATTTATTCCAGTGTCATTTGGGCTTAGTTATCAGCTTTAAACTCGTTTTAATCAGTCTCCCTTCTCTACACAGTACATGCAGATGGCTGCAGCCCCTCAGCTGGGAGTTACCTCATACAAACCGGAGGCGGTCAACCAGGTTCAGCCCCGCGGCATCTCGATGATGGTCAGCGGCGATACGGGCGTGCCATATGGAACGATGATGCCTCAGTTGGCCACCCTGCAGATTGGCAACTCTGTAAGCCACCGATCTTTGAACTCGAAACTCTTTCTTTCGAGTTTCTTTGCCTTATAAAATCCTTCTGGATTGAAAAGAAAGAAAAAGAGTTTTGCAGCTTTGTGACACTGTGAAGATTCGTAACTATACGATCTTCTCAGAGTGAGCTGTGTGTGCCTTTAATCCTGAAAAGTTGATACCTAATTTGTACTCTTTCTATTCCTTTCTTTTACTCCAATCAATTTCTTCTTTTTCTTTCTCGATTGATTTCGATTTTTGTTTGGATTTATTTTTGTATTTTTTCGTTTCTTCGGTTTCTTTTATAGAACTTTTCTCCATCGTTACAGTATATTAGTCCAACTTATCCATATTATGCACCACCACCAACTATTATACCAACAATGCCTATGACAGATTCCGAACAGGCTAGCACAGCTGCATCACCCGACGAGGCATACACACAGTATCCACATCAAGCCGCTCCCAAATAGGTCTTCGCGAGGTGAGTGAAGTCTTCTCAGCCACTTTCCTCCTTTCTCTGTTTCTGTCTCTGTCTCGCAGGCTCTAAAACTCTGTCTGCTTCTCAATCGCTATCGTTCGCCATCATAAAGCACTCACCAAAAAATCCCTTGATTAACTTGAACCTTAGTACATATAAATGATTTTTTAAACTACAAAAAACATTTTCAATTTTTAAATTTATGATAAACATTTTTTTTATTTACCTATGGTTATAATACCGATTAAAATTTTCAAACATATTAAGAAAATGAAGTCCAACAACTTTGAATATTGTTATTGTTCTTATTTCATAAAAAAATGGAAAAATAAACTAATTAATCCAAGTAAACTAATTGTTCTAAGCTAAACAAAATGTATAGCAATGCGTAAAGCAAGGTTCAAGTTAAACATAATTGACCAACATTTATTTGATAGGTTTTAGCACAAAATCAACCCGGTGCGCTTACCAACACTGTTTTGCATGTGCGCTATTTTTGCTTCTAGAGACCCCGTTCATCCCCAAAAACAATCATTTCACTCATCCAAAATTTCATTTGCTTTTACTAAGCTTTCCCTTTCCGTAAACACTTCCAAGGATTCTTCGTTTCTTTGAACACTTAAACACACTTACCAACACTGCACCGTCAAACAACACACAATTACACTGAGAATCATCGGCTTCATGTGTTTTGTGTGCTCTGCTTGTTGTTGCTTGCCTGTTTGCTTCAGAACTGTTCATTCACAATATTTTTCTACCACTCCACTGAATACTAAACAAATGAATTCTACTTATTTATTTTCTTTACAACTTTCTGCGGCTTATTTTAAAAAACAACAACATGGCTCTATTTCTTATATAGTATAGTTACTAAGCAGTCTAATCACTGGTAACCCATACTAGGTAAATATCATTCATTATTCATTCAAATCAATTGCATGTGACCCGGCTTAAAACAATTCCCTGAGCTACAAGAGGAGCTGAAACCCAATCCATTTCCCTGAAATTTATGATTCCTTAAAGACAATTATACTAATTAAAACTTGTATTATTTTAGCTATAATATATTAGTACCCCATTTGAGTACTATATAAATTAGACGAGAGTGAGAGCATGCCACGTGGAAGCGAAAAAGCCAAGGAGGAAGGAAAATCAAGAGGACAAACATTTAAAGCAGCGGATCGGATAAAGGAGTCAACAACAACAACCACAACCATCACATGAACAACAACTAGAAGAAACTACTGAAACAACAACATCGGCAGAAGAATCGGAAACACAGCATGCAGTTCACGAGGATAAATCTAGAGAAAAGCCACTCCCCCTAAAAAAAAAACACGGGGGAATCCCAGAAAGCTGAGGCAGAGAAAAAAATGTATAAAATAAGGAGGTTGGATGTGAGGATGAAGTTTAGGGGATACATGATTACAATGTAAGCGATGCGAAAAAAGAAAGGCCGGTCTCCGACGAGAGACGAGCGCAGAAGACGCGAGTAAAAAGTGAAGAAAAGCAAAGACTAAACTTAAATAATAGAGAATAGTTATACACTAAATAAACAACCAGAGATGCAACAGCAGAACGGCAACAATTGTCGTTGCCAAACAACAGCGGCAAACACGAGAGAAGAGCAGTCGAAAATATTTACAAAAAGAGAACTGCGGGATGCGAGGAGAAGGCAAAGTCAAAGTCGAAGGAAACTCACTTGGGGGTCGTAAGAACTTGAGGAAATCTGCTGAGCAAAAAAGAAAACCATCGCAGATTAGAGTTAAGTTAATTTTGTTAAGCGCAAGAGGAAAAACAATTGCATGGGGGAAACCAAAACCGATGATAGAGGAAGAGCGATGTAAAAATAGAAGAGAAAAAATAAAAAGAAACTATTTTGCTAATTTTGGGCTAGCAAAAAACCTAAGCAGACAGAAAATTTGTGAAGTAAAAGAAAGGGAAAAAACCGAAACAGAAACAAAAATAAATGTGTGTGCAATGTATGTTAAAGAACCGTAAAGAAAAACAGCAAATAAAAACGAAACAAAACCCATTTCGATGATGATGATATAAACAAAGCATAACTCTTAAGTCAAACACTGCAGCGGCAACAAAGAAACAGAAACCCCCAGAAGAGCGAAGAAAGCGCAAGAATGTGCTAAAGAAGAAAGCAAAACTTTTTTACCTTAGAGGCAACGTGTTTTCTTTGTTGTGGCCTGCTAAAGAAGATTTTTACGATGAAACTCCAGACTCTACCTTTGTTTTGTTCTGTTTGTCTAATTTGTAATATTTATTTTGTATTTTTGTTGAAAACGTGTTGAACAGCACAAAGAACGGAAGCAGAGGAAAGCGTAGATAGCCACAAAAAGAATGGAGATTTTTGGTTTGTTTTCTCCTTTTGTTGGTTTCTTCTTGAACCAAACATGCAAATTGTATAAAGCAAAGATCCGAAAAAAACAAAAAAACAAACAAATGCGAAAAAGAAATGTCTATTTCCCCCTTTTTGACATTCGTTTTGTGCTATCCAAGCAGTCAAAAAGAAGAAAAATAAGCGAAAACAAAAGAAATGAGAAGAAAAAGCCTTTGAAGCGGGCAAAAACCTAGTATTAAGTCTTAGCAAAACAAAAATAAGAAGAATTGCAGTAAGCAAAACAGATTTAGTAGTTCTAGAGATCTAACAGAAAGCAGAAGACGACGGGTGGTTAAGCAAAAGCTTACCGAAGACCGCAGACCGAAAGAGGAGAAGGGAAATCTTGTACTAGTTTTTAGCATATTTTTTGTGCTCATCAGTCGATTTAATGAATGAATTTTTTGTAGCTGTCTACAGTTTTTTACGTTAACTGTTTTTTAGACATATTAATGAAATGAAGAAAGTAAAACCAACAAAAACAACCTAGATATAGTATATTTTTTCTGCATATGAACGAACAGTTGTTGGCGAGAGCAGAAAGTGAGAAGACAGCAGGAGAAGAATGGAGTTTGATTAGCACGGAAACCAAGAGGCAAACACTTTTTAAAAGGGAATATAGCGAAACAAACCGAGAGATGATGAAAACACAAAAGTAGCAAAACACAGAAAAAGAAAATAAAATTTGAAACTGTAGAATTGTAGTTTAGCTTTGTGAAGAAAGGCCGGCGAAGAATGTAATTTTTGAAGGATCAGCAAGGATCGAAAAGAACAACAACAGCAGCAACAACAACTGGCACAGGCAGTAGCAGAAATGTAAAACAAAAAAAAACCAAGAAAATTAATGTTAAATTTAAAATGAAAACAAAATGATGAAGTCTAAGAAAAAAAGGAACTACGTTTAGTGAACTTAGTTAATAAGCGAAGATTTCTTTAGTCTTGTAAGCGTCTCTTAAGTAGAGTTGAAGAAACGGAGGTCGGAGTTTAGAATTGAAATTTAACCTTTTTCAAAGCCTAGCATATTTATTTTCCCGAGACACACACACACACAAACGAACACACACACTGACACACAACAGAGACACAACACCTATCAAGCCTAAGCATTGTATTTGTGATTTTTTCGAATGTTAATTGATTAACGAAACACGATGAGCAAAATAAGAGAAACGAGAGGGAAACATCAAGTGGGCGATGTGGGTGGGTGAGAAGAAAGTGTGGCGAAGAGAGAACATTTTTTTTGAGAATCTCCGTTTTTCAGCAAGGACACCACCTCACACCACAAACAACAACAACATTCCTGAGCAAAGTCTTTGATTTGATTTTGATATTGTATATGTATGCGTTGATACGATTTGATTTTCGAGTTTAGAGTTGTCGAGTCGCCTAACTGAACTATCTACATATATATATACATTATATATATATACATATATATAAAAACGTAAGAAACACAACGCCAAAAGTCTTCCTAAGCCTAAAACCAAAACAACAACAAAATGCAAATATTTCTTCTTTTTTTTTACTTTTTTCATATAACGATTATTTGCTTTAGACTGACTACGAACTGAAACTGTAACAATAACAACAACAAGTGCAGGATTGTAAACCCCAAGTACATACACCTAGAGACTACTCACCTCCTAAAGTTATAATGCAGGCATCGGGGAAATATATATATTTATTTGCCAAGACATTCCAAAAGCGAAAAGAAAATAACAGCGAAATTCGTGCGAGATGCCTGCATTTGTTGTCCTATACAAGAAAAATCACAAATACAACAACCACTCATTGGAGGATATTTTTTAAAGATTTGAAGGATCAATCCTGTTTTCCTTGATACCACCACCACTACTACAAACACACACGCCCACGCACACGCCACATACACCTTCCCAAAAAAGAAACTCTCACACAAAGTGCAATTTTCTTTCTGTAGTTTTCATTGATTTTACTTTGTTAGCAGGAAAAAAAACTTAAGCAAATTGAGAAAGCATTAAACTCTAAGTTATTTATAAATCGAAGGAGTAGAAAGAAGAGGAGAAGAGCTGGGGGCGTGTCTTATCGCCCCCTACCTAGGAAAGTGAAAATGAAATTTATGTTTTAGAGAACGGGAATGAAATCGAGTCGAAGAAGAAGATGAAGAAACCTAGTTTTTAAGATCAAAGCCTAGTGCATAAGTTTAGAGAATCTAAGTACAGTGTTGACAAGCAAAGAAGAACGCAGATGCGGAAACGAGTAGCGGGTAGAGCGAGGCAAGAAAAGTAGCATGAAAGACGGAGACACGAGTAGGACATATGATTTCTAGTTGGTAGCGAAAGGAGAAAGAATAGTTGGTTAGTTGGAAGTGCAACACACGTAGAAAGTTGTAGTTTTTGTGTAGTTAGAGCGACAGACAGTGTTGGAAAACGCCGCGTCGCACAGTTTGAGGTTAGGTTTAATTTTTGAAAAAAAAATCGAGTTAAGAATGAAGAAAGATGAAAGAATAAAAGCAAGGACGTTGGAGAGGGTAAACAATAAAATCAACCGACGAGGAGTGTTCTAATCTAAAAGCTATACTGACTTTTTGTGCGTGTATTTAAATCTACTTTGACAAGAAACCAAACTTGGAACTCGTTTGTTTTGCGTCTGTATTTTGTTTTAATTTAATGCGTTTTACTTTAGTTTTTTAACTAATTTTAAGTAGTTAATTTATTATTTGTCTTAAAATCGCCGAGACCCTAACCAAGATTCAAGATTGCTTGGGTTTCTCGCCCCTGATTGAAAACCACACCTCTAGCGAGAGGAGCGAAGAATCGATTAAATTTGATGCAAGTGTTGAAGTATTTTTTAAAATGCAAACAAAAAAATGTCTAGTGCGTAAAATTGAAAACTAAAAACAACAAAAATTTCAATAAAAACTAAAAAAACAAAAATAAATAAATATCTTTGGTTTTGAGTGCGTTTCTCTTCGTTTAGTTTTACGTTCTCCTTCGATGTGATTTCTTAGTAGTAAAATGTTTGCTATAAGAATTACCAGTAAGCTTATTCCCAACCCACACCAAATAGTTTCCAGTAACGAATACGAATTCCTAAATTAATTAAAACCCCCCAATAAATTGAATTGTGTTTTAAACAGGAGGCAAACTTAGTCGTCTTAGTCGTTGTTTAGGGGCGGGCAGAGAGCAGAGCGTGAGAGGCGAGCGACGAACGGGAGGAATAAATAAACATTTTTTAATTAAGCCAATTTAAGGAAATGATGAATATATATTTTTTTGAAACTTTTTTGACGAAACCAAGAATATAAACAAAACAAACAAAAAACCCAAAAACAAAACGAGAGCGCGGAGCCAGAGGAATGTACGCTAGCAAAACGATGGGATGGTAAAACAGACAGGATGGTAAGGGAAAAACAAGCTCATTATATTTAAAAAATAAATAAGACAGTTTCGGAATGAAGATTGGAATAGTAGAGGGAGAGAAGTAGCGAGGGAATGGAACAAAACACGACGACAAAGGCGTAAACTAACTTTAAGTAAGCGTAAAATGCAAGCAGCTAATTAAACTTAGAAACAGAAATACTTAAATGAGAGTAATGTACATTTCGCTTGTTGCTATTTTTAAGTTTTAAATCAAAGTCTTTTAAAGAACTTTATTCATTTTCTTATTAACAATGATAAAAACCCCAAAAACCACAAAAAAATCAAGCAAAGCAAATGCGCAAACTGGTAAAATTAAATCAGATGAAAACAAAAAACTACATCTCTCTTTGTAATCCTCCAGAATAAAAAACAAAAAAGAAAAACTGAAGGAAAGATCGATCGAAAAAGCATGAGGAATCCTTTTCAACTCTCTGTGTATTTTTTAATGTATTATTTTTTGCATCAATGTGACGCTTTTAAGCATTTTTATATGGCGAAAGAATTGTATTTAAATCTCTAGTAAAAGCTAAAAAGAACACGAAAAACCAAAAATCTCTAAAACTGACAAACGACAAGAAAAATGCGAAAAAGCGAAATCTTTGCTACAACTTTCAAATTTATACGCGTACTTTTTGTGCCCTCAACTTTAATGCAAAAGATCGTTCATGAAGGAAAACTGAATTGGAGATCAAGAGATAATAGTTAAAAAACCAAAAAATAAAAAGTTTAAAAATGAAAAATTAGTTTAAGCAAAACATTTTGCAGCTTTTGTGCTTATTTCGCTTAAGACTAGTTGAACAAGAAAACCATAAAAAAGAAAGTAAATGAAGAAAAAAAATTAAATCTAATTGTAAGTAAAAAAAAAAGAAATGAGAATAGATCAGTATAGAGAACAGAACCGAAAGCGAGAGAATCAAGCAAGAAGCTAAAGCGAGGGCAGGTTGAAACATACCTGGCCCGATTTAAAAGCGACAGAAAGCATTAAACCGAGAACATAGCAAAAGAATTAACTGTGGACGTGTTGAACGATACGAGTTGAAGAACACACAAAACGTAAAACATGAAGAAAACGTAACGTCTCTTTGGTAAGAAAAAGGAAAACCTAAAGAGCAAATGCTGTCATCCAAAAACCCAAAAAAAAAAATGAAACTGAACTTTTTCTGAATCAATAAAAGACAAATTGATTTTCTGTAAGAAAACAAAAATCAAATGCATTTTTCATTTGTGGGTTGGGTTTGGGGGACTTAATTTGATGAAATCCTTGATTTTCCTGGAAATGTCACACAGGGGATGTGAGATTCCTCCACCCTTAGAAGGGTTATCATCCTGCCGAGGATGTGGCTGCTATGCCCTTGTGCTCGTAAAATGTTTAGGATTGTGTGTGTTGGGGGCGTGTAATGAGTTCCTCCCTTAGGCTATCTTTTTACCCCGCCACCCCGAAGACTCGTAAATAAAGTCCTTTGGCCTTTGTTGGGGTCTGGAGAAATATGAAAGCGTCCTCCCTCCTCCGCGCTTAAACTCCTAGTGAGTGAGCCTATGTGTGTGCGTTGGGGAAGCCGCAAGGATGAACCCCGAAAAACGTTGACAGCAGCTCTTCCTGCTGATTTTCCTGCTATCCTGTTCGTTTGACTTGTTTGATGGTTTTATGAGTGTCAAGACTTGACAGCTTAATAGACATTTTTATGGCAGGCAATCGCCATTTCATTGTTATTGCAGGGAGAGGGGGATGGGAGGTGGAGGAGGATTATAGAGTTTTCCGGGCCGAAAAAAGGAAGGGGAAGTCACACCCCTTCAAAAACCCAGCCGAACGACAACTTCCGGGACAAAATCAAGGGATGCTGTGCCAGCCCCACCAGAAAAGTTCTACCATCAAAACACACACTTAGAAAAAAGGCTTTTCTTATCAGTACCACTTAAACAATTGTCCCGTTTTCTGATCCGCATGTTAAATTTAAAGTATGGTTAAAAACTTGAAAAGACATCGATGGGAATTCAGAATTTAAAAAATACATTTTTTAAATTTAAAATGAGCACAAAAAATAGACTCTATAATTAAAGTTCACACAGTTGATTTTTAAAATATTAAAATGATTGTTGAAAGAAAATTTCTTTGTAGTTATACATCTTTTTTCTGAGTGCACACACACACATATAGCATACATTTGAGTGTGTGTGCAGACCCTCCCCCAAAAAACAGCAATAAAAGCATTAACATTCGTTTGCTTGTTTGTTTATTTTGGTTCTCTTGCTGGGACTGGAATGGTGCCTTTTTGAGTTTTCTGGGCACCTGTTCGCGCGTTGTTTTTTGTTTTAGTTGTATGTGTAAGGACAACAGGGATACTGATAAGGTCATGGCTTTTCAAACTCATGTTTATGGAGATGATTTTTACCAAAAATTCCGACCCTGATATTCAACAAAAAAATTCAGTATCTTGGCCGAAACAAAAAAATTTGTAATCCAAAAATGGAGTGTAATACCTCATTTAGTTTGTAAAATAATCTCTAATAGATTGGCATTCAATTCCTAAAATAATTATTTTTTTGCGTTTTTTTGTAAAAAATGTTTGATAATAAATCAGAAAATTTACAGAAATTGTTTTTTTTTCAGAATCAGCTGAAAACGATGAAACGCCAATTTACAGATGAAAAATTCTAAAAAAAAATTCATATTTTAAGCAAAAACACAGACTTTTATTTTACCTCGAAAACTCTGAATTCTATCTGAAATAACGATTCAAATATGGAGTGTCATACCTCGTTGAGCTCGTAATCAAAGTCCCAATCAATCGACGTATAAACCTAGACATTTTATTTTTTTTGTTAAATTTTCTATAAAATTGTGATGTAACCCCTTATAGAAAATGCGAAAATCGACCAAAAGTGGATTTATTTTTAATCAACTGCAAATCTCAAAGATAGTTTTTAATTTGTTAGCTTTTGAAAATAGTATGTGTTTTTGATTTTGGACAATTTTTGGCCAAGTTACAGCAAAAACCCTCTTCCAAATTGTTGATTTTTCATGATGCTATTTTTTACCCGGTAAAACGGCCTATAAAGTTTATCAGCGAATAGACCTTAGAAACCAATGAACACAACCAATTTAAATCCAAGTTCATGTATTATTTATTTATTGTTTATATCTAGTTCAACTGCCTTACGGGTATTCTGATAGGCATGCTACTTCCATTAGTTCGCGTACAGAAAACTGTTTAAACTATAAAAACTGACACTGTGACTGCCAAGCCGTACAAAAAACGAATTGTTAACTGTTTGCACGTCTATATAGGTTATACATACGCTATATTCGCTACCACATGGGATATCAATTTTTGTGGTCTTGGACAAATGGAAACAATGGCTAACAAATTACGAACTACGCGGAAACAAAATCATATAAAAATCGTTAAATTTACACGGCACCGCCTGCTCCTTCTGCTGCTGCTCACTTGCCGCCAAAGCCGCCCATCAGGTTCCCCAGGCCGCCCAGTCCGCCCGCCGCTCCCTGCTGCAGTTGCCTCATCATGTTCTGCAGTCCACCGACGCCGCCCATCTGCTGCAGCATCCGGGGATCGATCATCTTGGCCATCTGCTGATTGAGCTTGGCCATCTGTGTGGGATTCACGTTCTTGGTCATGTCGCCCTGCTTGAACAGGCCCTTTACGCCGCCCATTTTCTTCACCACCGCCGCGAATTTCGTATAGTGAGCAATCAGTTCCTTGACCTCGCGCTCCAGCACTCCAGCTCCCTGGGCCACGCGAACTGAGCGATTGGGCTGCTTGCTGAAGAGCTTGGCGCCGTCACGATTGTCCAGTTCGTTGTCCGACATACTGTCCATCATGGTCATCATGCGCTTGATGCGCGCCATCGACTCCTGTTCGCCGCCCTTGGTCATGAAGTCCTGCGAGAAGCCGGGAATCATGTTCATGATCTGCGAGAAGGGGCCCATCTTCATGATGTTCTGGAACTGCTCGTACATGTCGCGAATGGTGAAGTGGCCGTGCTTGATTTTCTCTAAAAGTTCCTCGTTTCCATCCAGCTTTAGTTCGTTTACCTACGAGAAGGGGAATATAATCAGTACGTGTTGTGATTTTAAATGTAAAGAATAGTTAATAAATAATTGAAAATTTTACAACAGTTTTAAGATAGTATTGGAATTAATATAATGACTAGAGCCCTGCGTGAATCATTTAATTTTTGTTTTATTTTTCTGATTTGTTTAATTTAATTCTATGTGAAATAAATTGAATGTTTTTCCAAATAATTTGGAATTTAATGAATGAATGAATAATTTTTATAATTTTTTTGAATTTGCCAGATTTATTTTTAACAAATCAATGTTAACTGCACAAAATTAAGGCCCTTTCTTCTTCTAGAGAAATTTTCGTATGAATTATTTCGGAATTCATGCCATTCTATTCTATTAAACTGAAAATTCAAATTTATTCAATTCTATTAAACTCAAAATTCTAATTAATTCATGCATATAAAACAAAAAATTCAAAATATTTCATTGAATCCATTCATGCAGGGCTCTAGTACTGACTAATACCACCTTTTAGGTGACATTTTTCAGAGAAATTATTAACACTTGAACCTAAATATGCCAAGTTTTCTCTTGTCCCTAGCTCACCTTATCTATCAGTCCCTCGATGTCGCCCATGCCGAGCAGCTTGCTCACGAAGGGTTTCGTCTTGAAGGGCTCCAGATCGTCGATGTGCTCGCCCGTGCCGATGAAGATGATGGGCGACTGAGTGGCCGCCACGGCGGACAGAGCACCGCCTCCCTTGGCATGGCCATCCAGCTTGGTAATGATCACCGAACCAATGTCCACCTTATCCTTGAAGGCCTTCGCCTGAGCCTCGCAGGCCTGTCCGATGGTGGCGTCCATCACGAAGATGATGTTGTCCGGACTGACGGCATTCGAGACGGCCAACATCTCCTCGAACAGCGATTCCTCCTGCTTGTGGCGACCCGACGTGTCCACGATAATCATCTCAAAGCCCTCGCGCTTGAACATATCGACACCCTCCTGGGCAATGACCACGGGATCGATTTCGGTGTAGCTGCCGTAGAATGGAATGCGCGCCTTGGTGGCGTTCTGCTTGACCTGGTCGTAGGCGCCGGCACGGAAGGTATCGGCGCACACGAGGCACGACTTCCAGTTGCGCTTCTGGTAGTGGTAGGCCAGCTTGGTACAGGTGGTGGTCTTGCCGGAGCCCTGGAGGCCCACGAACATGACCACGTTCGCCTTGCCCTTGATGGGCTGATAGGGTTTCACGCCGGGATCGACCAGTTTCACCAGCTCCTTGAACACCGCCGACTGGATCATGCGACGTTTGTTCAGCCCGCCGGCCATCTCATCGAAATCGATGACCGCGCGGACATTCTCGCGCAGCTGCTTCACCAGCCGGATATTCACATCCGCCTCCAGGAGCGCCGCGCAAATCTCCTTGAGCATGGAATTAAGCGCCTCCTCATTGATGACCGTCGCCTTGCTGAGCGAGTGCAGCGCCGTGGTTATCTTGCGACCCAAATCCGCGAGAACCATCTTGCCGGTGTTGGGTGTGTGTGTGGTCTACTGGCAGCTTCTGTATTTCGTTGGGGCCGGGGCTGGGCGCAAAGTTCGGCCAGTTAAATTGTATATTTTTTGGACTTTCTTTCGCCTGACACGTCGATGTGGAAGAGGAAGAGCCTGCTGACCACTGGCCATTCGCAGCGGGCGCGTGTGCAGCTGTCAAAACAAAGCCAGTTATCGGTTATCGACGGGGGTTCCCGGTGAATGGTATAGGGTTAGTGATGCTAGATCGGAAAAAATAGCTAAATGGGAATTTAAATATAAGTAGTATTTTATTTTTTTAATTATTGATTTACTTGTTTCTATTTGGTTTAAATAATAATTTTATTTTGGCTAGAGCCTAATAATTAATTTTACTAAGTCCCTTTTTCTTCCTATAGCTTTCACCTGTTTCTAGCTAGCTGAAATTAAAATAGCCATAGATGGCTTAAAATAACCGAAATGGCATCACTAAAGAAGAAGACAGTTGTTTGAATTAATTGCGAAATTTTCGCGGTTATTGTTTTATTTATTTAATTTAATTTAATGGGTGTCAAGGAGTTATGGGGAGTTCTAACGCCCCATTGTGAACGTAAACCTATAAATGAACTGCGTGGCAAGAAAGTGGCCATTGATCTGGCCGGCTGGGTGTGCGAATCCCTGAATGTGGTGGACTACTTTGTGCATCCGAGGCATCATTTAAAGTGGGTTTAAAAACTAATTTTCTTTAATATGTAATTAATTATATTCCTTCCACAGAAATCTCTTCTTCCGCACTTGCTATTTGATTTGGGAACAGGTCACCCCGGTTTTCGTTTTGGAGGGAGTGGCTCCCAAGCTCAAAAGCCAGGTGATCGCCAAAAGGAATGAACTCCAATTCCGGGGAGTTAGGCCCAAGAATTCCCCCGAGTGCAGCCAAAACCCAAAGCAGGCTCCCAAGGGGGACAAAGGACGCAGCCGGTTCAACCATGTCCTTAAACAGTGCGAAACGCTTTTGCTCTCCATGGGAATCCAGTGCGTCCAGGGTCCTGGCGAAGCGGAGGCCTACTGCGCCTTTCTCAACAAACATGGCGTGAGATTATACATATTTCCTATATAATCCATTAAAATAATCCAGTTAAACCCCTATTCCCAGCTAGTTGACGGCGTCATCAGCCAGGATTCGGATTGCTTTGCCTATGGAGCCATTCGCGTCTATCGCAACTTCTCCGTTTCCACCCAAGGAGCTCAGGCGGCTGCCGGCGGAGCTGTGGACATCTACGACATGCGGGAGATCACATCCCGCATGGACTTTGGTCAGCACAAGATCATTGTGATGGCCCTGCTCTGCGGCTGCGATTATTGTCCCGATGGCATAGGTGGAATTGGAAAGGATGGCGTCTTAAAGCTGTTTAACAAGTACAAGGAAACGGAGATTCTGGACAAGTAAAATAGTATAGAGGTAGTCTTCATACCCAACTTTAAGGACCTCTTTCCTTTAAGGCTTCGAAACTGGCGAGGGGAAACAAATAAATACAATGCTTTGGAGATCCGAGTGGATGACAAATCCATTTGCAGCAATTGTGGACACATTGGCAAGACCATGAGCCACACGAAAAGCGGATGCAGTATTTGCCGCACCCACAGAGGCTGCGATGAAAGCCTTTGGAAGTAAGAAAATCTATAAAATAATATATAACATTTATTTATTATATTACATTCCACAGAGAACAACGCTTGTCCATCAAAGCTGAATTGACGCTGCGTCGAAAAGCCTTACTATCTCCCGATTTTCCCAATGAGGAGATCATTGCCGAGTTCCTCAGCGATCCTGACAGCATTCCCAACCTAAATCTCAACTGGCGGCAACCAAATCTGGTCAAGTTTATCAAACAAATAGGACATCTGCTGCAATGGCCTGAAATCTACTGCTTCCAGAAGTTCTTTCCCATTCTCACGCGCTGGCAGGTGCAGCAATCGAAGCAGGAGAAGATCCTAATCGAACCCATTGAGATCATCAAGAAGCGAACGGTGAAAGGAGTGCCCAGCATGGAGTTGCGCTGGCACGATCCCAGCGGCAGTTTCAAGGGCCTCATTCCAGACCAGCAGATTGCGGAGTTTGAAGCAGAGCATCCTAAAGGTATTGAAGAACTTTACTACACCATTGAGCCTTTGGATATGCTGGAAAAAGCGTTTCCTGATTTAGTAGCTGCCTTTTTAAAGTCCAAAGAGAAGCCCGCCAAGAAAACCACTCGAAAGAAGAAAACTCTGCCAGAAGAAGAGGAGGGTAATAAGGAAAATGAGCCAAAAACGAAGCCTAAAAGAGTTGTTAGAAAGAAGAAGCCTGCTCCCGAACAGAATCAACCTTTATTGCAGCAATTCCTGGGACGTAAAAAGGATGCTACTCCTGTGAAGGCTGCGGCTCCACAACGACAGCAATGCTCCACGCCCATTACCAAATTCCTGCCTTCGGATCTCGAAAGCGACTGTGATGCTGTGGAGTTCGATATGTCGGATATAGTCAAGGGAATTATATCAAATCCTAGTAACAAGCCAACTCTCACCAAACACGAAGGTCACCAGCTGCATTACGAACCGTTGGCAGATGATTTAAGTTTACGCCTGGCGCAGATGAGTTTAGGAAACGAAAAAAAGACCCCTTCATCCGACAACAAAAGGGACCTCTCACAAATCGAGCAGTTACCACACAGTAAGCGCTTCTCCCTGGACGACAGCTTCGATCTGCTGGTCAAGGGAGATCTCAAGAAGCTACCCAGAACTCCCGTAGAGCGTTTCAAGATGCAGCATCGTCTCAGCGAAAAGATTCCCACGCCAGTCAAGCCTCTGGCCAACATAAGCTACTTTTTCCATCAAAGTTCCGACAATGCAGATGCCTTTGAAGAGCTAATGAACTCCAGTTTAGTGCCCCAAGATCAAGGGGAAAATGAAGAAGAGAAGGAAGAGCTGGAAGATGATGATGACCTGGTGGTGATTAGTGATTAAACCTTAATTTACTCTTAATAATTCCGCGATTTATTTGGGCAAGCTTACAGCTAGCACATTTTGGAGGGTAATCACAAAGACCTACAGATAAAGCTTAGCGTACGCGTGTGCCTTCGACATGGCCTGCTCCAGCTGCTCCTCGAACAGATTGCTCACCCGCCGACCCTTCATGTTGCACACGGCCAGCGGATTCTGACCCTTGGGAGCAGCTATCTGGCCACCAAAAGTGTCGGCGAAGGACTGCAGCCAAGCGGAAGCATTGAATTGCTGGGTGATGCAGTCGGCTGGCACGCAACAGCGCGCCTTGACCACGCTATCACACATGCTGATCACCAGGACAGGTCGATCTTGGCAAAGTTTGGTGGCTCTTTGTAGGGGAATCTCCTCTACGAGAGCCGAACTGGTGATATAATGCAGGATAAAGGGGTGAGTATCCAGGGGTTTCTCCTGCAGCAGGTTGCGCATCTCCACATCCACAAATTCCCTGAAAGAATTGAAAGATTAAATGGTTGACTTAAACTATAAACAAGATTAAATTACTTTAGTGTTGTGCGTGATGAATCTTTGATTCTCTTTAGCATCTCGGTGATGCGTTCCAGCGTGTCCACCTTAAACGCATATGGCAGCTTAATGTCCGTGTGCAGCATATTGTGACGAATCGTCTGCAGTTCCGCCTCCGTGGCATTTGTGAGTTTGTCAGTCTGAAACTGCTTCTCTAGGAGATCCACGCGATGGCGCAGCAGGGCAGCCGTCTTTAGCACCTAAAGGCAAACAGAAGATACTATTTAGTACCTTAATTCAAACATTTATCCAAAAATCTTCTTACATTTTCCGCCGCCTGGCCAGCCACAGCGGTAAAGGCGAATCTCGCCCGGTTGGTCTGCTTTAAATTGACAATGCAGAAGCAGGAAAGCTCACTGGTGTTGGTGGCATGAGTTCCACAGCACAGTTCTTTTGAGCTAAGTTGCAGCTCAGGGCTCTCCACGTTGACCAGACGCAATCCCTGCTCCGGATAAACCTCCCCGGGTACCATTGTGATGTCATTCTGCTGCAAAACCTCAGCGGCACTCAGTAACTCAACTTGGACAGGCGTGGCGGAGCAAATGACGCGACTATAAGAAGGGTTTACCAGTTAGATTTGTCAAAAAGAAGTAACAAAGGGACTACCCACTTGATTAGATCCTCAATGAGCTGCACATCGCTCTTTTGGATGCGCTTGCCTAGCAATCCCAGCTCCAATTTGCACTGATCGCTGGTCACCGAACTGGAAACCTGGTAGGTGACCTTCTTAAAAAGCGAACGAATGGCGGCATTTAGCAGATGGGTGGCTGAAAATATAGGGTTGGTTCTATTACATATTTCCTTTAACTCTTTTAATTTCACCTGTATGATGGCACGTATTGAGTTGCCTCTGTTGGGCATCCACCTGCAGCTCCACCTCGTCGCCAATTGCCAACTCAAAGGCATCTGAAGGTGTGGATAACTTGCAGACATGAACCACGCAGTCATTGAGATGTTTCACACCGATCACATCCAGCTGGTGATGATTGCCTACAAAGATCTTTCCCCCATCCGATTGCTGACCACCGGATTCATAGTAGAAATTGCTGCCAGCAGTTATAATGGAAATCAAGTCGGTGGAGGGCTGCTGTATGCGACTGCCTTGGGTTCGTGAGACTTCCGCATCATTTAGGAGTAATCCTAAGACTTTAGTCTTTAGAGGAGGTATCTGATATGAATCACTTTGCTTGTCAAAGGAGTAAGCGTATTTGTGACTGTTGTCGGTGGCAGCCAGACGCTTCGTTAGCTGCGCCTGAGCCTCGGCAATGCGCTGTTCACTGGCCAAATCACTTAGAGATCCTCCTTCACTTTCTCTTTGGCTGCCCTTGCCTTTGATCTTGGCCAGACTGACCTCCGCCCTGTAGCGCTCCAAATCACAGTTCATGTTCTCCAATTCGGCCAGCTTAAGGAAGCTCTCTTCGGTGAGACCATAGGTATCGGTCAGTTTGTAGAGGAAATCCCCTGGTATGGTGTTATTGTTAAACTTGCAGCGCTGCACTTGGAACTCTCGGTAGGCGGGCACGAAACCAGGACATTCCATCAGATCAATGTCATCCAGATTGGGAAACTCGGTGAGCACCTCGGCAAAAGCCTTGGAAGAACTCTCTCGCAGATTCTTGTAAACCTCCTGTTCGTGGTTGATCAAATCGATGACTGCCTGCTGCTTAAGCGACATTTCTGGATAGGCTTCGCCTAAAGTTTCCACCACAATGGGAACCAGTTGGGTTAATAGTTTCTCATGGGCAAAAACATGCTCCGAAATGTTGAGCGCCTTTCGCAGCACGCGACGCAGTTTTTGACTGAAATTTGTCTATGATTAGTTAGGAAATTAATAAGATAAGAAGTTAGATATTACTTCTGATCCGGAAGCATTCCATCAGCCAAACAGGCGGTCACCATACGCGCATGATCGGCTAATATCCTATAGCTGGTGTCTAATAGAGCGGCATTTTGGCCATCGGAAAAGCTGCCGCTGTAAACCGGGGACTTGGCCACCTGCTGAATGCCATCAAAGATGGGTGTAAACAAATCCGTATCATAATTGGACGTTTTATTCTGCAGCACAGCCGTTAGACGCTCGAAACCCATGCCGGTGTCCACATGATGGGCGGGTAACTGCGAGATGCTGCCATCTGCATGACTGGAAAATATATGAAAAATTTTAGCCTATGAATTTAGGGAATTTCTAAAAGAATCCCCCACCGATTGTACTGTATGAAGACCAGATTCCACAGCTCTGTGAGATCGGAACGACCTGCATTCACCAGTTTGGCGCGCTCTTCGACGCTGCCCAAATCCGGACGATGATCTATGTGGATTTCAGTGCAGGGCCCACATGGTCCAGTGGCTCCCATTTCCCAGAAGTTGTCGGCGCAGCCAAAGGGCAGGATTCGCGAGGCGGGAAAACTAAAAAGAGGAGATATTTTACATGGGGAAAATCATAGTATTATGTAACAGGTTATACCCCAGGCTCCTCCAGATCTCGAAGCACTCCAGATCGGCTGGAATGCCCAGCAGCTTATCCCCAGCAAAGTAGGTGACATACAGGCGACCAGGATCTATGTTGTAGGGTCCCCTGAGCAGCTCCAAAGCCATGGAACAGGCCTCCCGCTGGGAAAAATCATAAGGAAAATTATATTTTATGATGCTATAGCAAGGCAGCAAGCTGTGAACCCACCTTGAAATAATCCCCGAAGGACCAGTTACCCAGCATCTCGAAGAACGTGTGATGATAGCCATCTGTGCCCACCACCGAAAGATCATTGTGCTTGCCACCCACACGGACGCACTTTTGGCTATTAACCACCCGTTTGTGCGGTGCCGCCGCTGTGCCCAGGAACACCGATTTGAACTGGAATGCAAACCGTATAGGATAAATAAGCAAACAATGGCATTTAATGGGCAGGTTACCTCACCTGATTCATGCCCGCGTTAACGAAGGCCACGGTGGGATCGCAAAAGGGAACCACAGGGCTGGAGCGGACGAATTTGTGGCCATGACTGCCCGTAAAGTGATCCAGGAAGGTCTTCCGAATCTCGCGGGCTGTCAGCACGCGCTGCAGCTGCTTGGCCGAGTTGTACATGCCGCCGCGCAGTTTAATTAAAAACCGGCAATTAAAAATCTAGCAGATAAATCTCAGGCTCCACGAACAGCTGATCGGCTGGCCATTCGCCAGGAAGCACATGTGGGGGTGCAATTTGCCATTCACCTTACAGCGCCGACACCAGCTGCAGCTGTTCTATTTTTTACAGGCGCAACACGTACATTTGGGCCATAATAAAAAGTACAAAATTACCAATAAGAACAACGAAATAGGTTATAAAAAACCTTTAAAAAATCAAGAAAATTAACTAGTTAAGTAAAAGTGACAGCTGTTTTGCCAAATCAACTCAGGTAGGTTGGTTTAGCAGCCAATGAACTTTGACACGTACAGTTCTTCCGCTTTCACTTTCACTTTCCCCGCAGTATAACCAAAATAGGCAACAAACAACGCAGTTGAGGACTGGCCCACTTTGAACCCGGTATAAAAGTCCAGCGATGGCCACCAAGCGACGACCGCTGCGTCCCAATTTGGGCGGCAATTCCGGTGGCCCCTCCTTCGCCGGCGGCGGTAGCTCCAATATGAATTTCAGACCCGGAGGACCCGATATCACCCGGGCGGAGGCGCGTGGCACTCGGCCCACGGCTGCTCCAACTAGCATCCGCGAGATCCTGGTCATGGGCGTCATCCACCTGTGCAAGAAGACCATATTTTTCAATACCGATCTGAAGGTGGCCCTCTATTTGGGCAGCCTGTTTGTGATCTCCGTCATCGGGGACTTTGTGCCCTTCCCAAAGACCTACTTCGCCCGTTCGGACAACCTGTTCAACCAATACTTCGTGAAGGTGGGCTGGGGTTGGACCCTGCTCTTCGTAGTGCCCTTCCTGGTGCTCTCCGCCTATACGATCACCTGCGGGGATCATAAACGGATGCTGAGGCACCATTTCCCGCGCATCGTCATCGCCACCTTTTTCTGGTTCTTCTGGACGAAGATGTTTAATGTGGTGGAGAACTCCTATGGACGCTGCACTACCAAAGGTGGGTATACATTAGAGCCCAGCATGAATGGATTCAATGAATTATTTTGAATTTTTTTTTTTTTATGAATGAATTAATTGGAATTTTGATTTTATTAGAATTGAATGAATTTTAATTTTGACTTTAATAGAATTGAATTTTTCTAGAAGAAGAAAGGGCCATAATTTTATTATTTATTTATTTATTATTAATTATTTACTATGCAGTTGTTAACATTGATTTGTTAAAAATTTTCCATTTCTTGTTCTTAAAAGAAGGCACAAAAAAATCAGGCAAAATTCAAAAAGTGCATTAAAATTATTCATTCATTCATTTAATTCGAAATTAATTAGAAAAACTTTTAATTTAAATCTGGAAAATTAAAAAAAATCATAAAAATTATTCATTCATTCATTTAATTCGAAATGAATTAGAAACATTTTTTCTGAAAAACATTCAATTTATTTCACATAGAATTGAATTAAGCAAATCAGAAATTTCATGGCCTACTATGATAAAACAAAAATTGAATGATTCACGCAGGGCTCTAGTTTACAAACCTCCTACAAAAAAAATCACTAATAAAAATCAATTGTTTTTCCAGGCTTCCAAAGCAAATCAAGCTGTTTGAAAGCAGGACATCTCTGGAAAGGCTTCGACATATCCGGTCACGCCTTTATCTTGATCCACTCTAGCCTGGTGCTGATCGAGGAGGCGCGTCCCATCATCCGCTGGGAGACCATCAAGGAGCACATCCGCAATGAGCGTCACAATCGCAGTTCCTCGGAGAATTCGGGAACAAATCCTTTGAGGACACTGAATGAGGAACAAATGCGCAGCCTGCAGTTCTTGTACAAACGCCTCACGCCCATTATCCGAACCCTGTTCATCGGCATGGCCGCTCTGCAGCTGCTGTGGGACATTATGCTGGTGGGCACCATGCTGTACTACCATCGCATGATCGAGAAGGTGATCAGCGGCATTATTGCCATACTCACCTGGTACTTTACCTACCGCTTCTGGTATCCCACGCCTGGTTTGCTGCCCGAGGCGCCTGGAAATGGCAGCTTTAGCTATCAGCGAGAGATACCCAGCTTCCCTTTTAAGCGTCCCTCGCATTTATCAACGGGAGGAGCCGCCGCTGCTACAAGTTCGGGGTCTAATAGCTCGAGAACGAACCTGAATGGCAAGGCGGGAACGACGGGCGTGCCGAGGGATCCGCAGATGCCCACGTTTATGGGCATGCCGCTGTTCACCAGTCCCAAAGCGGCCAGTGCAGCTGCTAATCTGCTGATGACCGAGCAGCAAAAGAGGGAAAGGGAGCAACAAACGCTGGAGAGCTGAGCCTTTGCATATCAGGAATTGATTATTAGGTGACGGATTGGAATTGATACCAAATTTTTGTATATTCAGCGATGAATCAAGATGATATTACTAAGCAGCCGAGGCTCCGACGTTTCTTACCATGACACCCCATTACCACCATCCATTAGCATCCTTCATCAGCCAGCAGCGCGTAGCTTTAAGCGTTCTTATGTTCGTGTGTTTATATGTGCCCAACTTTAACAGTAAAAGGATTTGTTAACAAAGCATTGATAGCAATCACTTGTGCGCGAAGGCGGCGAACATGGCCATACCCAGGAAGCCGGCTCCTGCGCCCAGTTTGTAGTTGCCCGGCGTCCGCATCCACATCTCGCGCAGGATGGCAAAGTTGCTCGGCTGCAGGCGGTGGAAGGATTCGCGCTGCCGGAAGCGCAGGAAGTAGGCCTCCACCTGAGGCAGTTTTCCAAAGGCCCAGTAGTAATTCTCGAATCCCAACTGATACAGTCTATGCAGCAGCAATCCCAGCGAGATATCCGCAATGCTTAGCTCATCTCCAGTCAGCCACTCGCTGCGAGGCGCTTGGGCCGAGAGCTCCTGCTCCACGTAGAGCAGAAAGTGACGCACTGCATCGAGAACCTTCTGGAATTCCTCGCGGGAAGAGGCCAGCTCATGGCGGCGCACTTGGATGTCCAGTTTGTGCTGCAGTGCCGCCTTGTTGGTCGAACGATCGTCCACGGAGTGCCGCAGCAGCTCCAAAACCTTTTCGTTGTTTTCTGAGGGGTTTAGAGAATTTTAAATTGTAAATTCGGGGTAAAATTAAGACAAGGAGTCGACCTACTCAGGCAGGACTGACGCACGGGTCCTATGAAAGGAGCCTTGGGCACCAGTTTCAGGTCATCGTGAATGAAGGAACCCAGACTGAGGGTTCCCACTGGCAGCCTGGAAATTGCTTGCTCAAGGATCAACATTTGATCGAATTCCTTGGAGTTGTGCGCGGGTTTCAGCGAACAATGAGCACCTAAAATTGGCAGAGGTTATGATATAGAGCTTTTATAACCTATTCTTATAAGTTATATATAGTTACCTCCCCGAAACTTGCTCTCCACATAGTTAATAATATGCGTTGAGCTGGGAATAACGAAGGCTCCATCCTGAAGAACTGGCACATCGCCCTTGGGATTTAGGTTTAGGAACCAATTGGAATACTGCTCGCCATTACACAGGTCCACCACATAAGGAAAGAAGTCGATTTTCTTTTCGTAGAAAACCATGAGTACCTGCAAAAATAAAAAGAAATATGTCGTTAATACTTAGGTATAACTATTCTTAAGCTTTACTTTAAATTCTTCAAAATACAATCGATGGATTTGAAATAGGGTTTAAATTCGAATTACAATATCAATTGAAATTGTTAAATTAAATGTAAATACTTTTGCCTAAATACTTTTGTAATCGAACCGTTTACTTTGTCATATCTTGTTTGCATATTAGATTACTATTTATTAAATTCCCAGTTAAATATTGTAAGTAATTTTTGATATAGGTAGTTCGCTTTACTTAAAACATAAAAACAAGCAAATGGGGAACTTTTATGTGATTCAGATTAACGTAATTATTTTTAGCTTAATGCATATAAAGATAAATAAATATTTATGTCTGTACTTTTATTGGGACTTTTTCGTAGTCCTTCGCTCAATTTAAATAAATATATTGAAAGCACCATTTTACTATGGGAAACTGGGTTTAATTATACGCTACATTTAATTATAGAGCAGCGCAAAAATAAAATTAAATTATTTCGGTTCGGTTATCATATTACGATCTTCGTTCGCAGGTTTGTTTATTTTTGCGTTTATATTATTTTGTTTTTTCCACTCAATCCGCCTCATTAGCACCTGCAGTGGCTATGTAAACAGTGTATAATTCAATCCTATGCTGTCATAATATCTAGACCCAGTCGAATATCTAGAGAACTCCACTACATCACCGCCAAGTCATGCTCCATTGCATTCGAGAGCAAAATTAGAGAGATCTAATAAAGATCGTGGGTGGAGAACCTTCACGGCGGGGGCATCCCATCATTACACCGAAAAACAAAAAAACAACGATGACGATTCGATGATTAGTTTTGTAATTTCGCAGCATTAGCGATCTGTTTGGGCAAATGATTTTTTCAAAGATCACATGATTAGGTGGGTTACTAACTTTTTGCGCATGGAAGTTGTAGGGGTGAAAGAAGAGCACTGGTTTATTATCCGGAAGTTCGGGGGCCTTGAAGTCCTGCAAAGTGGGCGGCAGAGCCTCGATCTCTTTGGCCTGGTCACTCATTATTATTTTAATATTATTTAATTTACTATTAATATTTTCTATTAATTTATCGTTAGTTTTTCGGTTAGTTTTCCACTAGCATAGGGGCTTTTCTCATATCACATGCCTCGCCGACGGTTGCGAAAACTAACTAACAAATCCGTAAGCGCGTGCCGGATTGAAACGGAAAACCGGAGACTTGCGAACTGCTTCCGCCGACGACTACGTCTATAGTGAAGTCAGATCTGAACGGAAGGTAAAGCTAAAGCCGCCGCCGCTTCGTTCGCTTATTAATTTGCACTTTTCTCGGATTCGCTCTATAAGCACATATGATATGTGTACACTCAGAAAATGAATCGCCCTGAATTTTAGAAAATCGCCTATGGATTTGCTTCACTGGCGATTTTTTTCTTTAAAATAAAAAAATTTTCTACTGGTAAAGAAAATTTTCTTCCAATTAATCAAAATTCATTAAATTCAAGAAATATTCCAGAAATATAGAAAAAAATCGCCAGTAAAGCAAATCCATAGGCGATTTTCTAAAATTTTTTTTTGAGTGTATGTTTTGGAACCCGAAACACTCCATTATGTCAAGCGATTCTCTCGCTTTTTGCGGTTTGTTTGTCATTCGTATTTATCTTTGTTTATATTATTACGAAACGGAGCGTTTATCTTGCTATAAGGAGATTTTCTTTTCAAAAAGTCTTATCTGCCAATGACTGAGGGATGAGTGAGAGGTTTTAAGTAGAGCAATACAACATATTTTCTTGAGATAATTTATATTTAAAGACATATTATTAATAACTAAATGGAGTATTAGTAAGCAACCACAAAGTTAAAGATTTTTGAATTTCCCGCCATTCTTGTTTTAAGCTTTTTCCACCGCTGTGAATGGCAAAAATTGAAGAAGAAGATTTGGTAAACAACTGGGAGATTTGATTTGCGCCCTTAGTTAAAATCAGGAAAATCAATTATTAGGCAACGAATCCTGGGATCCTTATTACAAATCCTTAAACTGGAATGTTCAATCTCAGCAAACAACTGGTGGTCAGGGCGCCAAAGCTGCGTTTGACTGCTTGCGCTGTGAGTGGAAGTGGTCAAAGTTCAAGTCTCGATCAAAACAGCAACAATTACGTCCAAAAACTTGTTGGCCCTAATCTCAATCGATGCCACAAACGTTTGTCCAGCACTAGTCAAAGTTCGAACGTGGGTCCAATGAAGCGTTTGGCAGGAAAAGTAGCCGTGGTCACCGCCTCCACAGATGGGTAAGAAGATTGCAAGGAAAAACCATGAGAATCCCCCTTTAATCCTTGGTTAATCCCCTCCAGCATTGGCTTTGCCATTGCCAAAAGGCTGGCCGAAGATGGCGCCTCGGTGGTCATCAGCAGTCGCAAGCAAAAGAATGTGGACTCTGCTCTGGCGGAGCTGCGCAAGCTGAACCTCAATGTCCACGGACTCAAGTGCCATGTGAGTGAGCCGGAGGATCGCAAACAGCTCTTCGAGCAAACGATCAGCAAGTTTGGCAAGCTCAACATCCTGGTCAGCAATGCGGCCACCAATCCTGCCGTCGGCGGAGTCCTCGAGTGCGACGAAAAGGTGTGGGACAAGATCTTTGACGTCAACGTCAAGAGCTCCTATCTGCTGGCCAAGGAGGCACTGCCTCTGCTGCGCCAGCAAAAGGACTCCAGCATCGTTTTCGTCTCCTCCATCGCGGGCTACGATGCCTTTGAGGTTAGTCGTGCTTATCTAGGGTTTCTTATCTGGCTTAACACTCATATCTCTTAGCTACTGGGCGCCTATTCCGTCAGCAAGACGGCGCTGATTGGTTTGACCAAGGCGGCGGCCAAGGATCTGGCTCCCGAGGGCATCCGCGTTAATTGCCTGGCTCCTGGAGTGATAAGAACCAAGTTCTCCAAGTCGCTGTACGAGAATGAGTCGGCAAATGAGGCGGCGCTGAGCAAAATACCCATGGGTCGCCTGGGAACCAGCGAGGAGATGGCCGGCGTGGTCTCCTTTTTGGTCTCCGAGGATGCGGGCTACATTACGGGCGAGTCCATTGTGGCGGGCGGCGGAATGACGGCTCGTTTGTAAAGCGGTGTACATAAATATATTGTCTTACGATCTATGGATAACAGCGGAGTTCAAAAATATAATCAAAAATGGATATAACTACGAGGATCTTAGCTTGGCCAGCTGATCGGCAATGTCCTTTTCGGTGCGCTTGCCACTCGTCTCGAAGTCCGAGGTTCCCGTGGATGGAATAGTGGACATTTTGCCCGAGATTTCGATGCCAATCTCGTCCAGAACCTTGTTCACCACCGCATTAGACTCCTCTTCGTCTCCCGACTCGTTCAGCATGTCGTCCAGGGTGTCGTTTATCATCTCGTCGGTCATCTCCATCTTCATGTTGGCCGCCTGGAACTGGCGCACCGTCTCCCCGATGGCCTCCGGTCGCATCACCTTGTTCATTTCGCCCATTGTCTTGGCCGTGGTGCCCATGGCTTCACTGAGCGCAATATTGGCGCCCATATTCTTGTTCTGATAGCCAATGGACTGGATCTTTCCGGCCGCCGCGTAGGTGCGCGACTTTTGCTTCCTGATCTCCACCAGCTGCTTGGCCAGAATGCGGCAGGCATCGTTGTTCCCGGCGGCTGCATTCTTTCGGATTTCCAATTCCAGCTTGCGCTCCTCCTCCTCCATTTTCCTGCGCTCCCTTTCGATGTCCCTGGTCGCCTTGCGCAGCGATTTATCGTTCTCCCGCTGCTGCTCCTTCACCGTGGGCTTCTTGCCGAACAGATTGTTGAACATTTTGGAATTTTGTGCGTAGTTAGACCTGGTTTCTCTACTACTGACGATGCTGTGATGGTTTTTCCTGGCGATGAATCACTCGGGGATCGAATAAAGCGCTATCGGAGTAAATATCACAACAGCAAACAGTTGTCAGCTGTTCTGCAGGCGTTTCGCTGTGAGTGTCTGCTTTGGTCAGGGGCGCAGGTGGGAACTTTTTTAAGGGGTAGGAAGGGCAGGTAATAACCCTGCAAGCAAACAGGCGATATTTCTATCGCCTATCGTACAGAAGTCACTTCTTAGTAATTTCTGGAAGATAGAAACACGACAGAACACATTTTACAAAAGCAAAATGGGTTCAAATTGCGAAAAAGTAACTTCTGAGGCACTTCTGGACGATAGAATGGCGATAGAATTTCTGAGACACTTTTGGGCGATGAAAAGGCGATAGAACACATTTTACAAAAACAAAACCAATGGGAAAAAAACATCTTCCAATTCCCTTCTGGAAGTTAAATTGAAGATAGACTTCTGGAAGTGACTTCCGCGACACTTCTAGGAGTCACTCAGAAGTGACTTCGGGAAGTGTCGCCGTAGTGGAACAGTTCTTCCCGACGGTGACTTCGGCGATCCGAATGCGACGCGGACGATCGTTTTCATCTTCTAGACGTCAATAAATAGTGACTTCCGCGATAGAAAATGCTTGCAGGGAAATAGGGTAAACTTATAAAAACAGTTTTATATGCATGATTTTAAAAAATTGTCCAGCTAAAACAGGATATTGACTGTGCTATGATGTCTGTATAGATTTTACTTAATATATTTTTAGATAATTTACATTTTATAAAAGCATATCTCGTTATGGGCTAATACTCAACCCAACAAAAAGTGTTCGAAAGCAAAAAACTTTAAATGAAACAAAAAACAAAAAATGTGCCTATAGAGTAAATTAAGATAACTAACAAAGTTTTTATATTTTTTTTTAATATTTTATTTGGTTTCTTTCTTAAATTTGTTTAAATTCATTGTTATTATTAAACATTTTATTAAGTTTTAAATTTGCCATCTCCCAAAACCCCTTTTATCTACGCCCTTTTGTTTAGAGTTGCCACCTTTTGATTCCAACAAAATCACCGGTTTGTTTATAACTAAACTGAATTAAAAATGTCTGTGGAAATCCTTAAACAAGGCGCCGAAGGACGTCTATATCTGGGCGACTTCAAAGGAGAACCCTGCCTGATTAAGGAGCGTTTTGTGAAGAAGTACCGCCACCCGGAACTGGACACCCAGATCACGCGGCAGCGGATGAAAGCCGAGGCCAAGGCGTCGGGAAGATGTCTTGCCGCTGGAATTTTGGCCCCAAAAATCCTCCACTCGGATCTAAATACCCACAAGTTGTATATGGAATACTTTGACAAGGCCAAAACAGCCAAGCAGTTAATCCAGGAGATAGTGGCTAGCCAAGCCGAGGAGCAGGCAAAGAAATCCCTGCTGGAGTTCTGCACGAGGATCGGTGGAATCATTGGAAAAATGCACTCCAATCACATAATTCACGGGGATCTGACCACCTCGAATATCCTTATTGATCCTAAGGGAGGGGATTATGATATTGTACTGATAGATTTCGGTTTGAGTCACTATAATCAGGCCACCGAGGACAAGGGAGTGGATCTGTATGTCCTGGAAAGGGCTTTAATCAGCACCCACAGCGAGCAGCCTTTTCTTTTTGAAAACATCTTAGCAGAATATCGCAGGACGTGCGGAAAGGACGAGCAGGCCGTGCTGTCCAAGTTCGAGGAGGTGAGAGCCCGAGGACGCAAGAGGACTATGATTGGTTAACAATAATAATAATAAACTTTAATGTTGAACTTATTCTATCCTTTTTATCGACTCTCTGGGAGGATCATCTTGCAGCTCGTCTATCTTGATCTTTTTGATGTACTTCCGCTGTTTGGTTTTGTTTTTGAGTAGTTCGTGCTTCAGGGGCTCCTTTCCCTCCACAGGCGGCAGTTTGTATTTTTCGTAGGGACGCTCCTTCATCTTGGCAATGGCATCTTCCAGTTTGAGACCAGCTAAGCCCAACTCCTCGTAGTACAGGCGGTATTTATCACAGAATTTTGAGTGTCCCTTCTTGAAGGCAGCTGTTTTAGTCGAGGGGTGCTAGAAAGATAACTTAATTAATGATTTTCCTGGTTAAAAACCAATGCAAAACTCACCCTGGCATCAATTGCTCTGGCGCAGCCCCTGTGAAAGTTATGCAGATGACGTAAAAACGACTCATTGGGCTTCAGGCCCTCCTCCAGACTCAACTGGATGATCTCATTGATGTAGCCAAAAGATTTATTGGCGCATCCTTGCCGCAGCATAGCGCCTAAAATAGGCATATTCATCTTAATGCCCGCCACTTGCATTTGTTGCAGCAGTTCCCTGGCCTCCTCCTGCGTGCGACAACCCAAGGCGAGCACTCCATAGGTCACAATATCCGGTCGCAATCCCGCCGTGCGAATCATTGTGAGCACTTCCCGGGCATTCTCATAATCAAAGCGCATCGAACGCTTTTTGATTAGTATGTTGAAGAAGTCTATGTCTGCTTTTAATCCAATTTTCCTCACAAAACTAAGCAGCTGCTTTTCTGCTGCATTTGTAGGGGGTATTACCTCCAGCATTGTGGTAAATGTTTCGATATTTGGAGTGATTTTGTGCTGCTTCATGTGCTCCAGAAAACCGGTGAGGCCGCCGAGTAGCAGAAAACGTTCATGTGGACGTGTCACCTCTTCTAAAGCCACCAAGCTGCCCAAATGGGGACGAGGCAGCAGAAGATTGGGCAGTTCCAGCTGGCTTGTAGTGCTAGATATCTCTATTTGGGCGGTTAACTCATTAGTTTTAGATGGTAAACTAGGTAAATCATCATTTTGACCCTCCTCCAACTGAAGAACTTGGTTTTTCCTAGCTGCCGCCGGAGCAATTTGATCAAGAACCTCCCGCATTGCATCCAAATCCCCAAAACCGCAATCCCTGGCACATCTCAGCATTGCATTGAAGCTGTAGAAGTCGGGAGTGACTCCACTCTTTAACATTTTGTGCCAGGTGAGCAGAGCATGCCGAAAACCGTGCTCCGTGTTACTCGCACACGCCTGCAGCAGAAAATTGTAGGTATCGGCATTTAGATCGAGTTGCCGCTCCATCATCTCATCGGCCAGCAGGTAGGCAGTGTCCACATCGCCGCATCTTCCATACGCCTTGATCATCGCATTGTAGTTCTTCACATTCGGCTCGTAGCCCTTCTCCAGCATGTTTTCCCTGAGAATCTGTGCCTTGGCCAAACCATCGCTTAAGGAAGGAGCATTTGCACAGGCGTTGAACAGAGAGGTGTAGGTTCCTCCGGTCACCTGGAGTCCCCGCTGCCGCATCTTCGTATACAAGGAGAAGGCCTTTCGTGTATATCCCGCCTTGGCGCAACCGCTGATGAGGAGATTGTATATATATTTGTCTGGTTTGGCGCGATCCTCTCGCAGCATTCGTTGCTCCAGCACGGCGATGGCTTCATTCAAACGATTGGCCTTCAGATGATCCTTGATTTGACGGGCATATTCAACGGCCTGCAGCTTCTTCGATCTCCGCGTGGCATTGCTGAGGAACTCCTCTTCTTCAGCGTCGCCAGGATCTTGGGTTTCATCGATTTTGGCATCGCCAAAGGTATCCGGATCCCCAAAATCCTGGACCTTCTTGATCTTCTTTTGTGGCTTGAATTTCAGACGTTGTTTTGGAACCTCTAGACGAGGTTCCTCGAGATCTTCTTCCCTGAAAGGATTCTGGTTCCGGTTGGCTTCTCTTTGAGTCTGCAAACCGGCTTCCTGATCCGTAATCCTCACGTGCAGCAGGCGATTTTGTGACCACCAACAGGATACCAAAGGAACCTCAGTGGGGAGATTGATATTATAGCCATTTAAGCCCCTTCTGGTGCCGTTTAATTGCAGGCCACGCAGGTGGGCGGCCATTGAACGGCCAAGTAACCGCAGAGCCATGGTTTATATTGCAATTTTCTGTGATTTTTATGTAATTAAATAACTACTATTTCAAACGTGTTTCCAGCGGTGTAAATAAAGAAACAGCTGTTTAAGAGGTGTTGCCACCTGGTGCAGAAATGACAGTCACACAGAAGGGTAATAAACCCCAGTGCCATTCACATTCCTCGCATACGGGCCCTGCAATCTGACCTGGTTTTGGATTAAATTAGTGAAAAAATTAAATAAATTAAGCATGAGCATGCAGGTGGACCCGCGCCGCAAGGAGAAGATCAACCGCTACAAGGCGCCCAAGAACCAGGGCCAAAGTGGCGGGGCCAACGAGGACATGATGCCGGATTACATGAACATACTGGGCATGATTTTCTCCATGTGTGGACTGATGATGAAGGTACAGGAGTGATAAAAACCCAGTGACTTGGCAGTTTTATATAATTATATCTCTATCCCTAGCTCAAATGGTGCGCCTGGTTTGCGCTGTACTGCTCCTGCATCAGTTTCGCCAGCTCCCGGGCGAGTGACGATGCCAAACAGGTGCTCTCCTCCTTCATGCTAAGTGTTAGTGCGGTGGTGATGTCCTATCTGCAGAATCCTGCTGCCATGACTCCTCCCTGGGCCTCCTAGCATTGGATATAGCCACCACTATAGTCTATAGTCTAGTGTAGATGAAGGTGTATACTTTATTGCGTTCCGAGAGGGATTAAAAGAGGACTAAAGATGAATACAAGCTGGCTGCAATCAATCAATCAATCAATGTATAACTTATGTAGGCGATGCGATGTGATGCGGAGGTAGTACAATTTAGCTACTGCGATCTAGAACGACTCCTCTGCGACTGCGTTTCGTGGCTAGGTGGTGAGCAGGTAGTAGGCGAACAGCATGAAAGCCACAATGTAGACGGTGCCGAAGATCAGGACGTATTAAATCTCCCCGAATCGCTGGTGGCCGGTCTGCTTGGCGTGCTCCTGGGCCTGCACCTGGCCGACGAGCCTCACGTCGCACTGCATGCAGCGCAGCGTGAATTTGTCCACATTGGTGTACTGGCGCGACGACTGCGCCTCGTTGGCCAGCTGCTCGGCCTGCTGGTAGACGCCCAGCTCCTCCACCGGGAAGATCGTGGCCGGAGCAGCACTCTGCGCCGTCTCCATATACAGCGGATCGTAGTGGATGCCATCGAAGAGCAGGAACACACGCAGCCCGAAGTTCTTGTCCTCGCCAAAACGATTGATTATGGCATTCTGGATGTCCACCACATCGATCTCGATGCCATAGTAGTTGGACAGTATCGAAACCTCGATGGCGCCGCCCCAAGAGTCCGCCTTTTGGATCCACGCACAGTACTCTGCATTCGATTTGCCCAGCACGGCATCGTTGTAGCTCTGCGTATCGGCCGCCACCTCCTGGGCAATGATGTGCCGCATCATTTCGCTGCCCTCGTTGTCCACCTTGCCGTTGAGCACGAAGCGGATGCTGGTGAAGAGGCACGAGTTGTCCGCTGGCACCACCTTCTTCAGCAGGATGCCGTTGAAGTCGCCATTTGGACCGCTTTCCGTGGGCGCCGCTGGCAGTTGGATGTTGGATGAAGGAGCGGGGCCTTCGCCGGTTTCCTGGAGCAGCTGGGCCTCCTCCTCGGCCTGCAGGCGACGCGCCAGCGCCTCGTCGTCCTCCAGGGTGGCGGAGGAGGCAGCAGGAGCAGCCTTCTCCTCCACAATCAGAGTTTCCCCGCTGTTGATACCCACCGTTTTGAGCTCCCGCTGTTCCTGCTGCTGCGAGAGATCCAGCGGCTTGGGTGGATAGCCCACGAGGACGTGCAGCTGGGGCGCTTGGATGGCGGTGGCCTGGACGATTTTCGTTTTCAGCTCCCCCAGCGTCGTATGCTCGTTCAAATCATTGACAATGAATTGACCTTTTTTCGATTTCAGCTTCACACTAAACGAACCCGTCATTTTTCGATTATACTCCTCCTGCGGGCGGCTGGGCAGTGGTTGGGCGTTGCCTAATTTTGGTGTTTTATTGCGACCGAAAGTGGCTAGCTTATATATTGTCTAATTTGGTTTTCTTTTTCCTATATGTATTTTTTTTTGTTGTTGCTTTTTTTATTGTTTAAGCAGTTAAATCGATTGATGATGGAGCATCGAGGTCTTATCGATTTATCGCCATCTCTATAATTGTACATCTAGCGTTGCCACCCGGTTTATTTGGCATTTGGCCTGGCAGTGCCGTCCTTTTAGGCGCCAATTTTAAAACATAGTAAAAATGTCATTAAAATGTTTTATTTGCACTTTTAAAAGTCAACCCAGAATATTAAAACAGTAATATTAAAAGTATTTTTCATATTTTAATACACATTTTAAGTTTTAACAGAACAATAACTTAGTTTTTGATTTTTGGAGTGTTTAGTGTATAAATTTCGCATGTTACATTAAATCTAGATTATTCTACGTGTAAATAGTTTAACATAAATATGAAAACTATTTTTCGTATATTAATAAAAATTAATAAAAAACAAAATTATAATTGGATTTCAGTAGGTGAAAAAGCTTATCATTTTCAAATTTTATACGAGCTAGTCACAATTTCTACAAAATTTTACATGTAATTTACTTTGTACTTTTCCACGTTTTCAAAAGTTGGCAGGCCGAATTAAAAAAATTAGCGGTTTAAATTCAAATTTCACAGTCTTATCAAATATTCGCGACTTACCATTGAATGTCTTCCAGCCTCCACACATCCAATCTTAAAAAGGTAACTATTTCAGCTACGCCTGCCTATTATGCAGGTGTGAACAAAAAGCTAATGGCAGATCGCTCGACGCTAAGGCCAATGTCAAGACGCTAATTAATATTTAGCAGAATCCGCTCGCAGATAATGGCCTAGTCAAATAGAACCCAGAACCAAGGAAACGCCGATTAGCAAAAAAAAAGAAGCGAGAAGCCGCAGAAACCGAAACCGCCAAGTCAACAAATTGCCCAAACATCAGGCAGCCATCCAAAGAGCAACAATGGAACACCAAAAAAACAAAAAATAAGGGAAACTGCCTTTTGTTATCGCCAATGCTCCACATGCGTGTTGGGCCAAAATCACTTTTAATAGTCCAAACAAATTGATATTCCCCTCCCCCGAATTCCCCAACTCGTGAATCACACTGAATCTTGTCGTTGTTTTAATTTCTATGAAAGACGAGCGGTCTGCCGTCTGCCGGCCGAACAATTCATTAACTCACTACTCTCAACAACTGACTGGCTTATAAATAGACGGGTCGGCGGGGTCTGGTGATCAGTGCAAGCAGGTCTGTCGACGCGTAGTGCGAATTCATCGATCGATCATATAACTCCAGTCCCACTTAAGACTCAACATGAAGTTCTTGCTCCTGGTGCGTCTTCAAAAAACAGAGAGAGGATTATCATCAAGAAAAAACAGTTTACTGACCAATGGAATATCCTTTATTTACAGAGCGTGTTCCTTTGCCTGGCCGTGTGCTTCATGGTCACCAGTGCTGCTCCCCGCGAGGAGGCCATTCCCGAGGGTCTCGAAGGTCCCGGCAGTGAGTCCATCAACCCCTCCGACGACCAGTCCTTCCTGCTCAAGCTGAAGCTGCTCAAGAAGCTACTGTTCCTGGGCTAGACATCACCACAACCTCCCATTCCCATCCATGGATTTTTAGCTTAACTATGTGTTTAGGTTTTTAAGAAGAAAAGAAATCAAATTAAATTAAAAGATGTATTTGGTAACAGAACTTTAACGTGGATTTTCTTTGAATTGAGGGAGAAGAACACTAAATAGTTAGCTTGTTTCTTGTGACTATTTAAACAAGAAAATTTGTGAAGTGCTTTTTTTTAATAATATGAATAAACCAAATATTTTTTTTTGGGTAAAAGAATCGATTATAAAATTGATATTAACTTGGCAAGAATTCAATACTGCTAGAAAGAAATCAAGTTCGTTTCTTAAGTCTTTTGTTTGGAATACTCCAAAATTCCTTCCTTTGGTTTGTATTATTTTGGTTTTTTATTTAGAATATAATGTAAATAATTGTCTTATTTTACCTGGGTGTTCCCACTGCGAACCCTTTTTGTTTTATGTAAAGAAAAATCTAGTTTTAGATTTTTTATTAAGTTTCAAAAATAAAATTTATTTTTTGATAAAGAAATTATATATTTATTAATATATATATTTTTTGTTTTTATTGTCCATTTAAAATATTTAATCTCTAAAAGATATATTTAATTACCAAAGAACTTAAAAATTAATTCAAATTGAAAATATTTTCCATGTTCTGTCATAAAATATAACCAATTTGTCCTTTTATTTAAAGAAGCCCAGTTAACCCCACACTAAAGATACAAAATACGTTAACTAACTCTCTCCCCAGAAACGAACCGAAACCAGGAAACCCGTTCCCATTCAGACCTAGGCAAACAAAAACTCGACCCGCTGCCAGTCATTAGCTCCTTTTGGGACAAAGATGGAGATGACATAAGAAAGCCGACTTGTATGAAAATTACATTTATTTTAGTTACGATTACGTATACTTTACTCTTTACTCGTATGTATGTGTGTACTTGTGTGTATGCGCTTATGGTATTGTCTAAACAAAACGGGTTGAAAATCGAATGCAGTGGGGGAGGCAAGGTTCCCAATTGGTTGGACTAGAATCTGAACGGTGCTCAGCGGACTGCTGCCGAATGCCTTCTAACCCAGCAGTTTCTTCAGCTTCAGCAGCTTCTTCAGCTTGAAGATGGCCTGCGGATCCTGGGGACGCTGCACATCATCGAAGGCCGGCTGATAGATATTGTCCCCGATCAGGGACTCATCCACGGGCACTGCAGACACCAGAGCAAGGGCCACCAGGCACACGAAAAGGGTCTGAAAAAATAAAAAAATATGATATTTAGCAAATGCGTATTTAAAACCATAAATTAAAAATGGTTTGTATAAAAATATCTAAATCTTTAAGTTAGGATCTAAAGTAATGAGTTTGGCGTATAAAATTTCTAAAATGTTTTTTTAGAGAAGCTAAGACTAAGCAATTTTTCATTTTTTTTTAAATAGTAAAAAATTTTTAAAATATTTCTAAGAAGTTTTTTAAGACCCCAAATTCCTTTTTAAAAGGACTTCAGCTGTTATTAGTATTTCATAATCCAATTCAATGAAACTCAATTTATAGCAGGTTGAATTATAATGAAAAAATTTAAAAGTTTTGATATTCATATTTAAAATTATTTTAGTAAAATAAAAATACTTGAAATACTGCTTTCTATATTTCACAAAAATTTTCAGGACTCTCTGTTAATTCGAAATTTTTTTAGACAGAGCTTATGAATAATATCAACACTTATGCTGAAATAATTAAGAAAATAAAATCTTAAAACTCACCAGGGCTAGGTACTTCATGGTTGCTTCTGCTGGTTAGATGATTGCGCTGATTAATCCAAAAATCGACTGCACCTAGCTCCATCTGCGATCAGGGCTTTTTATAGCCGAACTTTTTGGTGACCATCGATGATAATGTCGTGTGTAAACTGCAATCTGCAATGGGAGAAGCGGACAAATGAGAGATACATAAACAAAAGACCGAGGCATAAGCGAAAAAGAAGTATAAACAGAAGAAACCTGGCCAAAAGCCGACTAAAAGCCGACCAAAGGGGCGTGGCCTGTTGAGGCAGGTGTCTTCTTTTTAATTTTTTGGACAGATTTTAGCAGCACGACCGAAAACCAAAACACTGAAACCAGGCCGCCCTGCTATTTACTTGGTTTTTGGTGGCATCTTTTGTTTGCTTCGCCACGGAAGCCACTGAAGAAGTTGAGTTGATCGCTGATTAAATAATAATCATACTGGGTAAATGAAAACAAACGAAGGTCATCGCGAATGCGGTCAGCAGAGTGATGTTTACACAAAATAAGGAAGAAAAATCGTAATAGGAGGAAGTTTAATTACCAATTCTTTGACGTAAATCGTATATTAGTTTATAAACCGCAAAAATACCAAGTTCATGATCATTTGAAGCCCCCTCCTTTCGAACTGATCAATCAATGGCCAAGTCAATTAAGTAAATTATCACTTGAGAATGGGATCCATAAATATTTGACACTTTTAACAGCTGTCAAGCCTAAAGAGTGGAACACTAAATCAATAAAACTGAAGCTAAACGATGGATCTATTATGGGTTGGGCTGTAGTATAAAAACCAAACTAAGATTGATACGGAGGCCAAGCTTTTATGCCCAGTCATCGTGGAAGTATCGATGATGAACTTGCAGCTAAAAAACCGGAAACATACACCCTGCTCCAAATATGTAAATTTACGAACTTTCGAGAATGCCGCCACAATGTCAACTTATTCAAAACATTCCATTCCACAGGTGGTACTCCTAAATAAATACGTGTTGAATGTATATCAATACAAAGTCCACCATGACCACCATCAAAGTAAAATATTATTGAATGAATATCTTTGAGTCAGTCGTTGTCGTCGGCTTGTCTAGCGCAGACTTATATTCAAAGTTTTGTATTTTTCCCATGCCCCTCGGCTCTTTCAATTAAATTATATGGGCGTGGCTGTAACATGTGTGAGATGTCTCAATTTCGGGTGAATTTATTGTAGGAGATAATAAATTTTATTAGGCACCCAAAAGATTGTAAAAATTTGCAGAAATTGTGAAATGATTTGCCGGAGAAATAATTATGCAAAAAAGGCGAGTTAGTTTATAAAAAATATCATTTGTTCATTAAATGTTTAAATTGTGAAATGATTTGCCGGAGAAATAATTATGCAAAAAAGGCGAGTTAGTTTATAAAAAATATCATTTGTTCATTAAATGTTTAAACAAATATTTTTTACAAAATTGTAATTAGATGAAAAGTTTTACTTTTTATTGTCTTATTATTTATTTTATATTTATATTAAAATGCAATATTTATTTAACAATTTTAGATTGAAAAAATTAGTTTACGTGTCTTCATTTATTCACGTATAAATAAGTTATGAATTAATGATTTATTGTTTTAAAATAAATTTTTAAATTGTATACAAATTTCGTTTTTATTGATCAAATTTGGTTTAACATTTACTCACATAAAATATATTTTTGGGTAATCCGTAGATGTTTCATCGTCACCTTCGCTTGGCTGGGAAACCTCTGAACTTGTCTCTTTCTTTTCCAATTCAGCCTGTTGAGTGGTTTCATCTATTTCCTCGCTGCTTTTCAGGACTGATGGCTCCTGATATCCCGGTGGCGTCTTCATGGCAAACTTGATCCGGCAGGAAATCACTTTAATAACTTCCTCATAGACTTGTATCAGCTCCAACAGAACCATATATCTGCCATCGGGAATGCGAAAAGGAACCAGTTTCGAGTCAATGGAGCTATTTTGCACGAAGTAGAAGCCAGGAACCAAAGGACAAGAGACCACAAAAGTGGAGGGCAAGAGACTCTCGCCCGGAATCTCCTCCACAGTGATATTACGAAGTGAATCGAGCAGCTTGCAGAGATCCATATTTCTCATTCGAAGCAAATCCATTTGATCGGAGCCACCCACTTGATTGGAGAGTTTCCTCACGAAAATATGCATAAGAAGTTTGCCGGGAAAGGGAACTTGAACGGTTAGATTAACATTGATTTCCTCAAAGTTCACAATATCATAATCCACATAAATTTCATTGGGTACAAAGGATTTGGCATAAAAGTCCTCTATCCTCAGTTTGATCTGCATTAAAAACTATTATTTTTGGAAACTACTTTATTTTATTAAAACAACTCACACTGTGAACTTGAGTAGCTCTAAAAAATAACATAAAAATCCAACTTTGCAGAGGTCGCATGGTTTAATGATTCCAACCAAATAACTGGTCGAAATTTGCTGACATTTGGCAACTGGGAAATTAGCCTCATTACCCAGCTGTTTAGTCAGGCCACGTTAACTGGACTAATGACTTTGTTTCGGCTGCCGATTCTTATCGATCAAATGTCCCCAAATCGTATAGGCCATCAGGGCGTATGCGTAATGTGGGTGTACCATTTTGTTTACATGGCGTATGCTTAATGAACAAACTAAAATAACACTGTGATAAATATTTTCTGACAAATCAACTTGAAATGTAAATTTACAAAATAGTCGGTTAGCAAAAACACTAACAACGCATTTATAAAGACGCTAACTATGGAACCCAGCGGTTCCAGTTGCGAATTCGTCGGCCAACTGATGAACTTGAACCAAAAAGTGCGAACATAAAACTACGACTACTTCGTTGCCGCTGGTAAAAACAGCAAAAGTTTACCATGTAAACGGACATAAATTGTGCCGCCGCCGGAAAGCAAGGCGAACAAAAGTCTCGGATAAATCATCCCAAACCAAACTGAAAAATATATGTATGCCAGTGGACCATAAATTTCGAAGCATTTTTATTGCAATTTGCTTGTTTGTACCAATCCCAAAAACAAGTGCAAACAATGCCGCCGGCAGCAAGCAACAAACAAACAAACGCTGCCTTAAGCCGCAAACTACAGTGAAAGTGACGTAATGCGATGGTAGCAGCGACAGCAACAACAACAACAATCGACTAAAAAATATGTATAAAAACCATTAAACAACGACAACAAAGTACAGAGAAAAGCAAAGTGAGCTGAAAAAAACTGTCAATGTCTTTTACAACGAAGCCGAGGATGAAGAAGCAGAAGCAGCAGCAGCTGACCAAAGGGTCAGGGGGTTTAAAATGGGTGGTTGGGAGTTTTTAAAGGGGGTGTGCACAACGGATAAAGGGCAGAAAAAAATAAAAACACCAGTCATTGCGAAAAAAAGTGTACTTTGTTTGCATATGTGCGACCTTTTTCAATGGGCTTGGCACGTGTTTCGACTATCGAAAAAAAGACAGTTGACTTAAATAGAGGAGGAAAGTTAAAAAAGGTGAGAATAACACATATCTTGGATCCTTGAAACACAAGAATAAATAACACAGGAACACAAAATTAAACTTTGTAAAATTTCCACGAACCATTTCAAGTTTTCTATGATATTTGGGTGCTCCTGAGTAAAAGTCCCATACAAAATTATTTTCCATCACCTACAGGTTCCGCGGTATAGCTAAGAATACAAAAAACCGATGTTGGCCGACATTTTGAATTACGTGGCCTATATAATTGGACTAACCTTTATTATTTTCGGTAGGACCTACTCTCAATACATCACGGCATTCCTAAAAAATAGTCCCCATTGTGAACCATTGCCCATGTCTTTGAAATTCGACGCCAAAGTTGAAAATCCCAAAATTGTAGAGATTTTTCTGATGTAAAAACAATTCTGAGGATTAAATCTTGAATGGAAGTAATTTTAACTATTCATTGTATCTATTGTTCATTGTATGCTTTAATTTCGGTTTAAAGCGTTTTCATGAGGACATTTTATTGGATTTTTTATACTAATAAAACCTATTTTTTGATTTCATTATCTACTCCTAAATGTTGTCAAATTTTGAATAAGTCATGGCAACCTCTAGAACTAAGAAACTAAAGTACGTTCACTGAACATACATAGAAAAATGTAAATGTTTACTCCCATTCTGTAGGATGCCTTGACATTTTTAAAATTTGACAACATTTAGGAGTAGATAATGAAATAAAAAAATCGGTTTTATTAGTCTAATAAATCCAATAAAAAATATTCTCATGAAAACGCTTTAAACCGAAATTAAAGCATACAATGAACAATAGATACAATGAATAGTTAAAATTACTTCCATTCAAGATTTAATCCTCAGAATTGTTTTTACATCAGAAAAATCTCTACAATTTTGGGATTTTCAACTTTGGCGTCGAATTCCAAAGACATGGGCAATGGTTCACAATGGGGACTATTTTTTAGGAATGCCGTGATGTATTGAGAGTAGGTCCTACCGAAAATAATAAAGGTTAGTCCAATTATATAGGCCACGTAATTCAAAATGTGGGCAAACATCGGTTTTTTGTATTCTTAGCTATACCGCGGAACCTTTAGGTGATGGGACATAAGTTTGTATGGGACTTTTACTCAGGATCACCCAATTATCATGGAAAACTAGAAATGGTTCGTGGAAATTTTTGGCTGTGTACCTGTGTAATAGAATTAAAGGTAGAAGTTGCAGTTGTAAATTTTGTGGTGGTAAAAATATAAAAATAAAATATACAGAAATGTGACATAGTAAAAATGCATTACATTAATACTGACTTGAGCGTAAGCATTTTTTAAAACAAATAATTTTTTAAATATTACAAAAAAAAAAAAATTTTAAATACATTTTAATATAAAATTTCATTATTTATTCTAAAATCTGGAGCTCATATCACAATGTCATCTCCATTGCATATATAGCCGCGGTGGTTTTTCGCGCATCATAAGATAAAAATTCACATGCATCGGCTGTCGGCTTATAATTTTATTTACCTCTCTGCTTTATCGTTTTCTTCGCTTTTCGTACTCTTTATAGGCATACTTTATGCGTTCAACGTTTTTTTTATCGCCTTAAATTTACAATTCAATGTCATGCCGGGCATTGTTGTTGTTATTTCTTCTGCTATATTGCCAAATTGAGGCAAAATAAAGAAGAAGCTGCTGCTGCACCAGAAGATCAGCAAGATCATTTTGCTGCAAAACCGGTTGGTTCGGTTGGTTCCTCATCGATATACCACTCCCCTCGCCACCAAAATCCGCAGACAATGCAGACCCAATGTAAAATTAAGTGTGTAACGCGACCTTGAGACTTCAACTCCAGTCGAAAACCAAAAACCAAAACCACAACTGCAATTGCCGGTCATCTTGGTTGCCACCGCCATTCATGTATTATTTATGTATGCATGTGGGGCCCATCGAGTTTTATGAACTTGCCCGCCCTCCGCCTCTCCCGATAATAATTGTTATTGCTCCTATACATTATGTTTTACTGGGCGCGTGGAGGGAGGGAGGGAGGTAGGTGATATCATTAACAGTCTAGGCCAGATCCATCTAGATACATATCTCTGTAAACGGTGGGCGCGTCCATGTCTGGGGTTTCCGCTTTTAATCAGTACTTTGGAAAAATATTTCGCGTTGACGATGCTACGTGATGCTTTTAGTCGCCCTTTTTTACAAATACTTTGGTAATCTTTGCTTTTTTGGAAAGAGTAAAAATTCTTATAAAATTCCTTAAAAAGATTTTTCAATTATATAACAAAAATGGAGAGGGAAATCTTTATGTTTACAAAACTTAAAGATTTTATAATAAATTTATTGAAAAATTAAAATTAAATTTTACCACGTTTTTAAGGACAGTATCGTTAAATCATCGTTTTAAAATATGTGAAATTCTTTAACAAAGACATTTTATTATAACTTAAGATAGCATCGATTCCCACAAAAACTAATTTATTAAAACCTCGCTAAAACCATAGCAATAATACTAAAACTAATGCTAGCGTTACTGCTAACTGCTAACTTTTAACAGTAGTGTGGATAATCAGCATATAAATAACTTGGAGGTGAAGATCATTGTTTATTGACGAGTGTGTAAGTGATTTGCATGATCAGCGAGGGTTGCTAAACAAATTCTCAAAATGTTAATTAATTCGCTCTATTTAAAAATTTTTTCTTTTTTTTTTCTTTTTATATATATCAACATTTTTGTCATTTTGTTTGTTGAGCTTTATGACTCCGTAAAGTATCATTAACTAAACAATCAACCCACGGCAATGGAGAATCTGGGTTTATGTGTTTATTTCCCCGTCAAACACTTTGGCAGTGGAATTTTTCTTGTGTTAACTTACGTTGAAAAGCATTTGGCCAATTGATTCCGTAGATCAATGCTAAGAGAGTTGTAATTAGAGGCAGTACGGCGGCGAATACATTTTTATCGCACGTTGCTCTTCTGTTTGGTTGATTTAGCACTTGAGATTTTTGTTTTTACAGTGGGGGGCCAACCCAATTCGGGTACACGGTATACCAAAATATATAGTGGCAAAGTGTATCCATAGATAAAATGCAAATTCCCGTTAATTGAATGCCAAACAAAAGCGCAGTGGCAGCCGCAACATTGAGGGAGGGGTTTTTCCCCAATTTTTTCGGGGGTTGGCTGTTTGAAAAATCAATTAGCAGTATAAAATGCTTTTTCGGTTTTAAAGCCGTCGTACCTGGGTTTTAGTTTTTTGTGTAATATTCTTTCTCCATTTCTCTACTCTCTACTTTGTTAAAAATGGGAGAGAGCAAATCCCACCTACACCCACCACCACCCACTGATAGAACTGAAAAGCGAGAGAGGAAAAGCAGTGGAAAAACCGCAGCTGCTGCTTTAAATTTATGCCAACGCGGCATTAGAAGCATGGCTTGCGGTTAAATGGGCAGTGGGTGGTGGTTGTGGAAAATGGTGAAAATGGCTAGGGGGTGCGGCAAAGGGGGTTATTTCAGCCATATTGGCTAGGTATTGGTAACATGTATGCATGTGTTTGTGTGTGTCCGCCTGTGGGTGTAGCAAACTGCAAGAAATCAAGGCTTTAGTTGCGGCGGTCGCAACGAAAAATGGCGGAGCGCTTTATGAATATTTATAACACAATGGAGCATGAAAAAGTTCGTTTGTAGGTGCTGCGGGGGGATTAAAGGGGTGGAGGGGGGATATGAATACATGTGGGTGAATACAAGGAGCTATCCAGGTTCAAGCTTCTGTTATCGATATCAATACCCCCCGATTTGACAGGGACGGGGTTAAT